AAGCCTTGTTGCTGTGGTCCTCTCCTTACTGCCCATTGTCCTCCTAAGGGAGAGGGCAGAGGGCAGGCAGCCTTACTTTGATCAGGTCAGGAGTGAAGAGATGACTCCCATGTCCCCAAGGTGGCTGGCTCAGTCACACAGGGACTAAGCCTCCTGCACGTGGGTCTCCTGAGGGTCCCCCGCCCCAGGAGGCTTGGCAGAAGGCAGGCTGAGGGCTGCAGCTCTGCACCAGGAGTGTGTAGAGAGCTTCCTTTTCTCTCTGAAGAATGATGTCACCATGGGTTTCTTGTTATACTTTGTACTTTGCACCTTGTGAAAGGAAAGCTGTATTCAGTAATCATTAGATGGATTGAATCCATAGTAACCAGTTTTGCATTTGTTGAAGCATTGCACTAACCATAAGAACTGAACAATTTAAAGTTGAAAAAAAAGAAGTTAAAATGTCCTGAAAGCAGTTTTTAAAAAAATGTATCATTTGTAAACTTGGGTTTGACTTGATGAGGATACATATATGAAGAACTACTGGAGATGGGTCAGTAATGTAAGGCAATGGGGCAGCTAGGTGGAGCAGTGCATAGAGCTCCAGCCTTGGAGTCAGGAGGACCTGAGTTCAAATCTGGCCTCAGACACTTGACACTTAACTAGCTGTGTGACCCTGGGCAAGTCACTTAACCCCAATTGCCTCACCAAAAAAAAAAAAATAAAAGTAATGTAAGGCAATGAGAGGAAACAGCTGAAAAGGCCAGGGCCACACTGGGAGCCCCAGAGAAATTAACAGAGCCAGAGGAAAGAAGGCTGTGCCTCTGGGGGACAGGTAGGTAAGGGGAGAGTGGGGAGATAGGGGGAGAGTCTACCAGGCTGAGGAGGTGGAGCCCTGGGGCCTGCCGCTGCCCTGGAGGATGCCAAACATCGATCTGTTAAAGTGGTGGTGGTTTTCCCCCTTGACAGTGTAACACATTAACTGCCAGAGTAGCGCACTGCCACATCACTTCCTTCCCCCCACCCTCTACCCCTAAAGTGCTGAAGAATGAGATTAAAACCTCCTGCCTGAAGCTGCTGCCACTTCTGTGCCCTGGGGCAGAAGCTGGGGGGGGGGGGGCGCGAGGGGAAGTTATTCTGTAATGTTTCTAAACATAACAATGTAAAACTTTGTCCTTGAAATCTTGATGCTTCTCAGTTATTTTCAGGGCTCAGTGTTTTCCAAGTAAGTTTTCATGGAGGGATTTTTCCCCTTCTTTTTAAGAAAGTGAGCCTTCCCCCCCCCCAAAAAAAGTGAGGCCTAGAAAAGTTGAGTGACTTGTCCAAGGTCTCACTTGTTGACTGACCTTAAACAAGGCACACTCCTCCATTTCCCTCCTGAAAGTAAAGTAGCACACACTGGGTGCCTTCTGAGGCCCATTCCAGCTGGAGGATCCTGAGACTCTCCGCCTGAGCTGGTCATTTGGGGCCAGCATACGACGTGAAAGTTGCTTGGGTGTTGGCTTGTGCTCCAGACCCTCAGGCAGCAGGTTTTATAGTTGGTTTTGGTCTTTTAGATAGTCCTGGGGCTGTCCTGTGTTGTCAGAGCTGGGGTGCTTCCTCCTTGGGTGTAGATTCCCCTTTCCATATGGGAAATCCTGGTTGTTTGTACTTGTTACTAAAGGTTGAAATCCATAAGGAAGTGGTATTTTTTTTTGCTCCCCTCCCCCCCACCCTGAAAAGGAATTTTAAGGGAGAAAAAGTTCACTGTGATGACCAGAGTAGTCTTTCTACAGCAGGTTGTCATATTTAAATTATAAAATGGGGGGGAAAGCTGTAGTAGAACCATTTGAACTGTAATGTAGGGTGTGTGTGAGCACACTGTGCGTGGCCCAGCGGAGGAGGAAGAGGCACTCCTTTCCAAAGGCTGCCAGGTGGCTGCATTTTGGGTGGTATCGCTCTCAAGCCAGGAGGACACATTGAGGATTTGGCAGTGCTGGCTAGTGTGTACGTGTGATGCTATGCCCATATTTTTTTTACATCAGACTTACATAGGGTGACTAAGCTTGGCAACACAGGTTTTTTGGCAGCCTCCATTTTTTTCCGTGGTCTGGCAGCATGTCAAATATCACTGGCCACAGTAGAATTCTAGCCCTTGCAGCTTATCCCCATGGGAAAAATCCTTTGTGCAAGGCTGTGTATTGGGACCTGGATAAAGGATTCATTCAGCAAGCAAATGTTGTTATTCCTGTGTGCTAGACAGGTTCTGTGCTGGGTCCTAGAGTTGCCAGGATCATGAATCTAGGGCTTTGAAGTGTCCAGAGAGGTGGCAGGTGAAGTGTTTTGGCCACAAGCACACAGGTGGTAAGCCTTAGAGGTGGAATGGAAGGTAAGAACCCCCACTCCCACTTCAAAGCTGGCAGTCTCTCTGTGGCACCATGCTGTTCTCAAAGAGCTTACCTTCTATTGAGGGGAACAGCCTGCACTCAAATAGTGACATAGAGACGGTAGGCTTTGTGTAGGAGGGGGCCCTTGGCCTGTACTTCGAAGGAAGGTAGAGATTCCAAGAGGTGGTTCTAGGCATGGGCTGGCATGTTGAGGGGCCGGTGGGGAGAACGATGGGGAGCGCAGAGTGTGTGAAAGAGAAGAATGTGGCCCTGCGGCAGCTGTGCACCAGCCTGAGGGCTTCAGTCACCTTGTGAAAGGCTCTCCATGACAAACAGGGGGGTCTGATTCTGTCCTAAAGGCACCAGGAAATCACCAGGGCTTCTTGAGCTGAGCAGTGACCTGGTCAGAACTATCCATTTGGCTACTGTATGGAAGATCAGAGAGGCTCGAAGGCTGGGAGGCCATTGCAACAGTTTGGATGAGAGATGAGGACAACCTGGAGAGAACGGGGCAGAGATGAGAAGTGTTTGGAGTAGAATGCATGAGATCTGGCAATGATTGAGTACATAGGATGTGGGGGAACAAGGAGTTGAAGATGGCACAGGTTGCAGATCCAGGTGACTGGAAGAATAATTGTGCCCTTGATAGAAATTGGACTTTGTAAGAGTTTGGGTTTGGAGTTTAAGATGACAAGCTCTGTTTAGATGTGGAAAGTTTGAGATTCCTACTGCTAGGGTGCTCCAGCACATGTCTGTGCCGGAGTGGGAGACTACGAGAGCACCCAGGAGGAAGGCCCTTCAATCCCTCGGTGTTTTGAAGATACCTGATTATTTACTTGTTATCGTTCCCACTGGAATATGAGCTCCTTGAGGGTAGGAACAGATTCTGGCTGCGCATCTCCAGGACTAGTGCCTGGTACCTAGTCAGGGGTGATTAACTGGTTGGCTCATCTTTTGTTATATAAGCTGTTGTCTTAATATCGGTTTTAGGTTCAGATAGTCAGTCAGTAAACATTGATTAATTGCTTGCTTTGTGCAAGGAGCTGTGCTCAGCACTCAGGATACACAGAAAGGCAAGAACAGTCTTTCCCTCAGGGAGCTTATAGTTTAATAGCTGTCAAGAGTGAGTGGAGTCATATAAATTGGAGAGAGTAGATGGGAAACAATGTAAGAAGAGAAAGTATCAGCAGGGGGAGGGGTGCAGGGAAGAAGTCCGCAGGAAAGGCCTCCTGCAGAAAGCAGTGCCTGAGTCTGGAAAAGAGACTTTCTAGGTTTTTCCTAGTGAGGCCACATAAACGCATTGGGCTGAAGCTTTCAATAGGACCACTGCTTAGTGTTGGCAGACCATGTTCTGTGGCCTGTCTCTTGAACCCACAGTGCACGGCATTTATAGCACTGGGCAGATTTACGATGAAACATTGGCTTCTTCTGTTATTGATCTTTAATGAATTAGATTGAGTCTGAGGTGATTTCAGGATATTTAAAATTTAGGGAACTGTTTTGATGTAGATTAACTCTTATTTTAAATAAATAGGTTACAGGGAACCTGCATATTTCTATCTTCAATAGACATTCTCTCTGTAGCACTTAATACTGGGAGCCACCATTCATGATAAATAGGAATTTGCTATAAAATTTTCTTAATTGAATGAACTTTCGGCTAATGTGAGAACATGAGAAATAACTCCAACCAATGGCAGACTCAAATCTTTATTTCTTGGGATTGACCACAAACTTCTCTAGCTTCCCTTAATAACTCATCAAGGGACTGCCAGCTAGGAATTTTATCCAGATCCTTCAAACCAATTTATTTTCAGCCTGTGTAACCTTTAAGGTTGATGACCTCCATGTTTACTTCCTTCCTATATTATTTTTATTTCATTTACCCTCTTCAAGCTTCAGCAGTTATCCCCTAACTTGAGTGATTCCGAGATTTGGTTGACCATATCTGAGTTTGTTTTTGTTCATAACTTCCATGGTGTTTATAATATGTTATTATATTATGATACTGACTGTTAACCTGCATGTTTCCAAACCAAAGATTTGTAATTTTGAAATTTTTGCTTTATCATCCTTATTTATAAAGAAACTCCTTAGTCCCCTGTGGCTGATTTTAAATCTTTCAACTTTATGCATCTTAATGATATTTTGGGGAGGTGTAGTGACCAAAATTTTGCATATTTGCCAAGTTCAGACACATTGGTTTTATAACGGTGAATCATTTTCTTTGACCTGCTCACTTGCAGACCATTAGGCTGGCCATTGTCTCTGACGAACGACTCCTCAGTTCTAATGAATCAGTGAGCATCCAGGGTCTAGAACAGAGCCTTGCACATAGTATAGGGACTTCAGCATTGTCTTGCACAATTTGGGTTCTTTCCCCCTTGTATCTCTGATAGTAGAACCCTTAGTCTGCTAAGGGTTATCCTAAGCCCTCATGTCCTAGCTCCTGGCCAGAATGGTGCTCTGGGGTTTACATTTGTGGAATTGAACCTTAGTGCAGAGGATTCCAGAAACAGTTTCTGTTCTCCCTTGGACTGACTGTGACTTGTCAATAACAACGATCCATTTGTAAAAATCCTTAATTCTTTTTATATATTGGGAGTGAATCAGAGAGCATTTTAATACTCTTATTTACTTCTGTTTATTTTGCAGGTCACGGAACAAAAAACCAAAGGTAAGATTATTTTCACTTGTCTGATTCAGAAGAGCCATTTAAAATGTTTATTTCACCTAGTCCGTGTTCCCGGGTCATTTGCCAGTTTTCTTCAAAAAGGAGGGCAAGCTTTGTGCACAGTAATTAGGTTTTTGCTGAATTGGTGGAATCAAGCTTGGCATTGGGCAGCAGAGGACTTGGATGGCTCTTAGGCAGTTTTCAAGAAGAGGAGTGTTTTCTAGAGGAGAAGAAGAAGTCCATTTTATTACAAGTGATTGGGTCGTGCTTTTGAGCCGAGGGTCTCAGAAAGCTTTTTCCTATAACCCTTAGTGCCTCTCTTTTGGAAGGAAGAGCTCAGGAAGTTAAATGCTTTCATCTGCATTATTTTTTGGTCATACATCTTTTTAAAGAAAAGTAGCAGATTTTAATTCGATGGGGAAAGTAGGGTTCTATTAGAAGAGTCATGTGTACATTTGTTTCCTGAAGGAATAGATTGAATCCTGGATTTCAACCAGATTAAGGACCCTTTAGGGCATTTAAAACTTGTTGATATTTAACTCCCCTTTGCAGGAAAGATCAATGAAGATGAATAGGGGAGAGTAATTCTGTCCGCTTTGCTCAGGTTTTTCTTCCTGTCCGTGCCGAGTCTGTTTTTCACAAGAGCCAGGAATGAGAGTTGTCACAGCTGGGATACACATGGGACTCCCACACTGTCCCAGCTCTAGGGAGAGGCGGCTTCATGCCTGTGGTCAGCCCCATGCTTCTTTGCCCGAATCAGTCTTTTCTCCTGGGACCACTAGGGGTTGGTTTGCCCACTGTGGAACAGAAGGTGGTCTGTTCCTCCCCTATTCTCCTACCATCCATAATACAAATACATACATCTATCCTAAAGGTTTTTAGGACCTAGAAACAAGTGGGGGGAAACATGAGAAAAGAAACAGAGTTTTTAGAATTTCAAACTTCTAAAGTTTTTAGAAGTCTCAGATGAATGTTGTCCGTGGTTTTCATCAGACTGTACAAGAAGCTAGGCCCTAACCTTGTGCCCCTTCCTTTTCTTGCCCCCCCCCCCCCGACCCTGTGAGGAAGGACAGAAGCCACATGTGTGGTGATGGGATGGGACGTTGAATTTTATAAGGAAGAAAGTTAAGATTCACCCACATTTCAAAGAAAAACTCAGACTCTTGTGACTGTCTCCTTTTTTTGAAAAGAAAGTCTTTCTCCTGGGATTAGATGGGACAGAGGCTGAGGATGCTGCTGAAGCTGCCAGTGAGACTGGGGAAAGGCTGAGTGGGGGGTTAGGGGTGGCATGGCCATAGGAATTTTTAGCCAGGCCCAATTTCAGACTGGCATTGGGGAACAGATAGGTTGGGGGTGGGGAAGGGGAGGAGATGGGATAGAGAGAGCAGCAGTGGGGTCTGAAGCAGAAACAACACACATCCCTGTGGCCACGAAATTTAATAACAAAGGTCCCCCCACCAAATTTTTGTTTTAAGGATTAAAAACTCAAGTAATTCATTTCAAAGAATGTCATGGACTGATGTTTTTCCCCCATTAAATTTTCTTTGAGGATTTTGCCTCTCTCCTTTGACCTCATTGCATTATACTCACCTTATCCCACTTGTTTGTGTGTGTAGCTCTTAGAAGGTAGGGCTTGGTCTCCTTTCCAGCTTGTATTCTCAATAACTGGCACACTGCCTTGCACATGAGAGATGCTCAGTAAGCGTGTGTTCAATTCCAGTGTGAAAAGGAAAGGAAGCTAAAACTCTCCCTGACAGTGACAGTCTTCTCTCTCTTTATTTGTGTGAGATATGTTAGGTGTGCAGAATCCTTAAATGTCCAAGGATTTCCCTCGCTTGCTTCCTTAATTACCAATTAAGACAAAAGTGGGTGACTCTTGTTGGCTCCAGCCAGTCCCAATATATCCATCCCTTGTCCTGCCTCCTGATACCTGGAGCATGCATACTCGATCTCTCTTCTTTCGGGGTCCGGGGCCCCTTACTATTTGGTTACCCATAGCTCCTCCTCATCCAAATCAGGGTCAGCTGCCTCCAGAGGACAATTTTATCGGCTTTTCTAAGTCAGCCTGTGCAGGCCGTAAGTAGCCCCGGGCTTTGATTTGGGGTGAGAGTTGAGACCAAATTCTAACTTTTCATCGGGTTTTAGGGTTCTGCAGCTCGAAGGAACCTTGGGCACTATCTTCTCAACTCTTGATTTTACAGATGGGGAAACTGAGGCCCAGAGAATTGAAATAAACTGCCCAAGGTGAAACGGCCTTTTTAGTGTCTTTTCACTAAGAAGAAGATTGATTGTGAGCACCTTCAACTCCATTATCCCATCATTAATAAGTTAGCACCCAGTTTTGCCTCCTTCTGGTCATCGGGAAAACAGCCAGTCACTTCCTCTTGCTCTGGGACTCATCTCTTCCTGCTTCCTCTCAAGTCTTGTTTGCTCCATCAGCAGATCATTCTGCCTCACTCTCTATAGCCCTGTCTCTGCCTCTCTGCTCCCCCCATCTCCTTCTTTTCTTCCTTCCCCATCTTTTGCTTACTACTAGCTTTTTTTCTCTGTTCAGTCCTAAAAATGTTCATTCTCTCCTCAACTTGAATGTCATTCTTCTTTTTCTGCTTAGACAGATCTAAACATATCACATTTCACCAAGAGGGATCTGGAGGCATTAGAATAGGATGAAAGAAGCATTTTACACGTGAAGGTCGAGGCTGTGGTTTCTAGTCCCGGCTCTGCCCTAATCTGTGAGACCTTGAGCATAAGGTCTCATGTCTCATTGGGTCATCTCTAAGGTTCCTGTCTAGCTCTGAGCCCAGGAAACCTATGGATGTACTGCGTACATGCTTTCAGACTCATTTGTTGACGTTTCTCTCTGCTTTAAGGCTTTTCTTTTCTCTTGGGCCATGTAGGGATGGTGCCAGCAAGTATAACGGGAGCACCTTTTATGAAAGAGTAGAAGGGGCATACAAGAGGAATAAAAAACATGGACCCTTGTCTTCAGGAAGACCATACTGTGGTTGGGAAGGTAACATTAAGGCCCTGGAGACATTGTGCAGAGGGCAAAAGATGACATCTGTGGTCTGGTGCAATACAATGGGAAATGAGTACAGCTGATAGGGAAGAATAAGGTGACCTCTCATCTCCTTGATGATCAGAAGGGTTGTCTGGGTAGCAAGTGACCTTTGGCAGATGGTAGGATTTCTTCAGGCAGAGAGAGGGAGGGCACTGTAAGGCATAAGGAAAAATGATGTAAGCAACGCAATAGAGCTAGGAGTGAGTGTGACCCAATGGGGACAATAAAGAGACTGACTTGACTAGATTGGAGAATTCTAGATTGAGGCCATATGGGATTGGGCCACGAAAGAGTCAAGGGTACTGCTAGTATGTTTTTAAGTGGAAGAGTATTTTTAAGTAAACTAAGTTGGTAGTTGTATGGAAGATGGCCTGGCAATAAGGAGGATAGTCAGAAGACTTGGCAGTCATCTTGGCTTGAGGTAATGATGGCCTGGATTTGGGATAATTGGAGTAAAGAGGAATTGGTGAATCCCTGATGCATCTGAAATGAAGAAATGATAGGACTTGGTATTAGGTTGGTTGCAGGAAGTTGGGGGGGGCGGAGGAGTCAACGATAATTGGAACTTCAAGATGGAAAGAGACAATCATACAAGTACATAATGGCTAATGTTTGATCATTGTTGAGAAGAAAGGTCTCCAGATAACAGCCAAAGGAAGTCATCACTGCCTTTGGCTGTTGGAAAGGATCTGCTAAGCACTTGTTACTGCAGAGCACTGTGCTGAGTGCTAGGGATACAGCTGTGTAGAACAGTGACAGCCCCTGCCCTCAAGGAGCTTACCTTCTAATGGGAGAGAACATACAGAGAAGGTTTCAGCTGCCTGAAAGGTGGAAAGGTCTTATGGTCCTTAGGGTACGGGGGTAAAGCAGATGGTCAGGCCTTTCATGTCATTTCCAATGATGAAATCGTATCATTTTCTGATGTTGGACCATCGGTGATAAGAACTCTCCTTTCTGGGTCTCTCGGGTCTGTGGCTACAGCCCCTGCAGGAAGGGGCCATCCCCAGGCTGCATCTCACCCAGGCTGTTTCCCTGGATGGTGGCAGAAGGCACCGGGATGGTAGCATGACTGTTCCCAAACTGTTGGCCAGACCCCTGGGTCCATCAGGATCTGTGCAGAGATGGTGGTGGTGGTGATGGTTTGATTTGCTTGGCACGTACTGCTTTCAGTCTGTCCCTCCAGGATACCTTGCTGCTTCAGCTAGTCTGACTTGCCCACTCCAATATTTGAAGAATTCAGATGATGGTGGAGAAAGAACTTACTCAGGAATTTCCAGCAACAAAATCTCTTCTGTCCTCTCCGTCTCTTCCTGTTCCCAAGAGGCCAGCCAGTTTGTCTCGAGTGTTAGCAAGAGTCAACAAGTATGGAGGAGGAAAGGGATGTTCCAGTTTGCAGATATTGTTATGTCTCAGTGGTGTCTCTTCTGGTCATGCCCAGTGACAGTCCCATGGGTACAGAGAAGTAGGAGCTTATCTCCTGCTTGAGAAAGAGCTGCAGAGACTTAAGGAAAGGTTTGCTTCTCACCAGCTCGAGCGGGAGCCAGTTCAGGAGGGAACCAGAGAGATCGAGGGGAAGCTGGAAGACGGGCCTGGCCGGGCCTTGGTTCTGAGACTCTTGTGCATCCAGACGTGGAGCTGGAGCCTCTGAGACCGTCTTGCCTGCAGGACTCGGAGAACCTGTCTCCTGGAAGAAGGATTCATCGCGTAGTGTTGGCCCGAGGTGAGCTGAGGCTCGTTCTCATGGTGAGAGCTGCCCACCAGGGCAGAGGAATGCCTTGGGGAGGAGGCTGAGTGACTGCCCAAACAGGATGCTGTAGATGGCATTTTTTTCTCAGATGGGGGGTGGGCCCATGGCGACATCCTTGCCAGCTGAGTTGGAAAGTTTCCAGTGTAGTTTCCTAGTTTAGGGGTAGGACGAGAGGAGCCATGGCTAATAAGCTTAATCTGATAGGAACAATGGAGAAGCGAGCTGTCTTTGCTGAGAAGCCTCCTGAAAAGTGACCCGTCTGGTGACCAAGAATCATTTCTTGTGATTCTTGTGGAGGAAGGAACCTACTGACTGAGACCTTCTGGACAAGAAATGGAAGCCCTCCGGCTGTGACTTCTGATCAAAGGCCAGGCAGCAAGGTGAACAAATGAGAAGTTCTCAGCCACAACTGGAATCTCTTTGAGGAGAGCTGGGAAGAAGAATCCCGGGCCACACGCCCTTACTTCCCCAGAACTAATTTAAATTTGAACTAGAGAAGATGGGAGGGGAAAAAATGTGTTCACACCCCCGTATTTACTAAGATTAACACAGATAGTAGTGGTTTATGGCATAGGAAAGAAGAGCTTGCTAATAATAACACTGGAGGCCTCTAAGTTGTGTTCATCACTTGTGGCCTCAGGCAAAATCCCTTAACATCTGTGGGTCTCCATTTAACTTGCTTGTAAAATGAGAGGCTGAGATTTAGAAGATCTCCAAGGCTCTGAACCCCTCCGGAGGTAGGTACCTCACTGGATTCTATCACTACTCTTCAGGTTTAAATCTTAAAGCAGTTTCTGAGTCCAGCCTATGGCTTTCTGTGGTAACTACAAGAGTGTGAGGAGAGACTTCGAGTGTCTCACTGAAGGAAGTTCTGGGATGTCAGATCTACAGCATTCACCTGTTCGCCTACCTGTCTGATAACCCTCTTAAGTTAATGTCATTTCAGTCTGTAAGAGTTGTTCTTGTTGAACCAATCCTGGCTCGATTTGATCACCACTTCCCCGTTAATACTCACTAACTAATCGTCCTTTTAATATAGTACTCTTAGAATTTGTCAGGCTTCCAGTGTCTACCTTAACAGATTGATAGTATGAAGAATTACCTTTCTGTCCCCCTACCTTTTGCTGAGAAATAAGGACATTTGTTCGTTTGCAGTCCAGGAGCATCTCTTCTATTCAGCATGACCTTGTACAGATAACAGCACAGCAGTGATTTCTTTTCATGAACCCTGAAGTACAGTATATAGTTCTCCTGAGTCTGACGACTTGAACATATCGAAAACAGTTAGTTGCTCTTCTTGTCGCCTCAATTATTTGGGGGTTTGAGTTTTCTATTATCTGTTTTTGTTCTGTCTCTCCCAATCTAAATATCCTTCTTCTTGGCAGAGAAAACAAGTAAAATAAGGATTGAGTTGTTCTACCTTCTCCCCATCACCTGTTACCATTATCACCTGCTCCCCTGGCAGCTACCTGTCTACTACTTCTTTAATTTTTCACTTAGCTCCAGCATGGCTCAGAAATCCATATTATTACTCTTAGAATTTATCATACGCTTCTGCTTGTTTCAAATTTGTGCATTTATTATTTCTTTATTAACATTTTTTCAATTAACAAGCATTTATTTTCTCTTTTTCCTACTCTCCCTCCCCAATTGAAAAAGAAAACTCTTGTAACAAATGTGCATGGTCAAGCAAAACTGTCCCTTTCATCTCACGTCATTCTCAGAGAGGTGTTCACCGAGGTTGTAATGCTGACCTCCCTGTCTCCAGGGTCAGTTTGCGAGACTCTGAGCAGAGCATCTCTACTTACCTCTCAGGACCTCTGAGGCCCCTAAGGGAAAAGAGTCACGCTGGAGAATTGTTGCATGTTTTCCTTTTAAGTTATTGCATGGGATTCTGGGATTCTGTTCCATCTGCCTTCTAGAGCAGAGTACCAGGGCTTTCTCTTACAAGGCAAGCTGCCTTAGAACTACTTCACTCCATGGCTTTGACAGGCTCTATCACCCTTTTTCCTGCCTGTTCCTCACCCCCAAAATTATTATCCTCTCCTCTTGCTGTGACCCCGTTTTCACTTGCTGTAGCTCTGTGTCCATGCCTCATTCTCCCATTAGACTGTGAGCTCCATGAAAACAGGGACAGTTATTTTGTGTTTTGTTATCGGCACATCCCCAGCACTGAGCACAGTCCTGTTGGAGTTGAAAGACATTGAATTCTAGGATTAAGGCACAGGCTTGGTAGAGTAAATTGATGCATACTGCTATAATGCTACATTATTATCATTTATTTCTTAGGAAAAACTCTAGAGCACTGAAGATGCCATGGGAAACGAAAGTGCAGAATTCTTTTAGAATATTCTGAAAGGAAAAGGAACTATGGGTACTGATTTTAAGTGAGTTTATGTGTACCTGTAGAAAAATGCATTTAATTTCACGGCTTTATTTTCTATTACTTTCAGTGCCCGAAGTGACGAAACCAAGTCTAAGCCAACCAACGGCCGCCAGCCCCATTGGCAGCTCTCCATCGCCACCAGTCAATGGTGGCAACAATGCCAAAAGGGTGGCAGTGCCGAACGGACAACCGCCGAGCGCCGCCCGCTACATGCCTCGGGAGGTGCCGCCGCGATTCCGTTGCCAGCAGGACCACAAAGTGTTACTAAAACGTGGGCAGCCCCCTCCACCCTCCTGTATGCTCCTTGGGGGTGGGGCTGGGCCTCCTCCCTCCACCACACCTGGAGCAAACCCCAACAACGCACAAGTGACAGGATGCCTGCTGCAAAGTGAGAGTGGGCCTGCATCAGGTAAGGAGCAGGCAGCTGCAGCCGGGGGATGCTCGGCAGGGCAGGGCCGCCGGTGTCACAAGGCACCACCCCAAAGGGTCGGTTAGTCGTCTGGAGATGAGCGGGGTAAGCACGCGGCTTCTGTTGTAGAGTGCCAGCATCGAGCCATCAAACCAAATCATCTCAGCTATCAGTAAGGCAGAGATTTGTCCCCAGAACGCCCTGTTTGTCCACTTTCTAAGATACTTCTTTAAAGAGGCCAAGGAGACAGTCGTGAGTTGTTGTCAGTCTCAGACTTTCCTCTCCTTCCCAGATGGGAGCCTTTGCTTTTCTTTGTCCGTGGCTCCTAAGAGGTACAGAGTATGTTTTTGGAGCAGGAGAGAGAACATAGTAAAAGGTTGTTCTTATTATTTTTAAATCTACATTTTGATGTTTATAAACCAGAAACAGTGAGGAAAAGAGGCAGGCCTGCTCTGAGATGAAAAGAGCCCGTGCCAGATGCCTCCTGCCCCGGGCTAGGTTCAGAGGCCTTTACGTGTGATCCTGTCAGCTCCGATTATTATTGTGTTTTCAACTTTATTTTGCCCATCTTGGAATCAAAGCTACCCTTCCCACAATTCTCACTGCCCGCTCAATTCCAGATCTGGAAGAAGCTGGGCAAAGGCTGGACACTGGGTGCTTAAGCACCATTGTGTGCCCAGCACTGTGCTAGGCGCACACCAAAAGCAAGATTGGAATTGGCTTATCCTTTGTAAGAAATGGTGTTGGGGGTTGCTTTCCGTCTCAAACCACAGTAACCCCCAAGCGCTCAAATCCCCTCTCCTAGCTGCCGGTCATGTCTTTTCTTCCCCTTCCTCCCCTTCACATGATCTTCAATGTGCTTTGTGTCTGTTTGATACTTAATTTATGATAAAATGCAAATTCCTGTGTTTTCTCTCTCCCTGCCCCCTCCCCAGCACACACACTGTAAGCAGTTAGACAAGGTTTGTTGATGGTTTGCTATCAGGAAGGGGCTTAGGGGATCAATCAGAAGTGCACGCTGGGATGGTACAGTCCCTCTATATCTGTGTGGGGGACATTTCACGATGGTTTGTTTTGGGAGGTTTTGTGCTTTTTGGTGAGGCAGTCGGGGTTAAGTGACTTGCCCAGGGTCACACAGCTAGTAAGTGTTCAAGTGTCTGAGACCGGGTTTAAACTCGTGTCCTCCTGACTCCGAGGCTGGAGCTCTGTCCACTGTGCCACCTCGCTGCGCCAGACACACACTTGCAGACAAATAATAAGAATAATAAGCAGCCCAGGCCTGTTCCCCCGTGTTTCAGGTGGTGCCGCCTGGGTGGTGGCGGCAGCCTGACCGGGGTATAGAGCCTGGAAGCCCACCTGGTGGCAGGGCCAGTAAGAATTGGGCAGTGGCTTTCATCCATCCCTGCCTGTGGTCTTGCATCACCCATCATCTCCATGCTTGGAGGTTACTCGGTGGTCTTTGAGAATATCACACCAGCTGTAAAGTGAAGTGAGAAGAAATGGGAGATCACTGTGCATAGTAATAGCAATGATGTAATGGTGATGACTATGAAAGTCTTGGCTACTCTGATAAATACAATGAAGCAAGACAGTTCCAAAGGACTCATGATAGAAAAGTTGCTGTCCACCCCCAAGAGAGATCTGATGAACTCTGATCACAAATTGAAGTATAATTTTCTCACTTCATTTTTATAGCTTTTTTAAAAAATGTGGCTAAAATGGAGATGTTTTTCATGATTTTACATGTATAATTTGTATCTTACGGCTCACCTTTTCAGTGCGTGGGGGAGGGGATAGGCGTGAGGGAGAGAACTTGAAACTCAAAATTTAAAAAGAAAAGAATGTCTAAAAATAAATAATATTATTTTTAAAAAGAGCATGTCACACCAAGGAGCTGAAGATGAAGCTTTTTGCTTAAGTCTTGAGAGACCAATTTATTAATATTAAGTAAAGCAACAGGTGAAAATTTTCAAATGACTTCATTGTATTTGGCCATGAAACTCACAGCCTTTATTTAGATTTCATCCATCTGTCTGAATGATTCAGCTAGTATTTATCAAACACCTACTAAGTGCATTCCAAAAGCTCCATTCCCCCATGCCTGTCACAGTACCTTGTACAGAGATAATTGCATTTTTATTTATATTAACAGATTTAAAGGTTGATACTAGCAGAACTTGTGGGGAGGTAGGGGATGGTCACAGACTGAGTTTCTGGAAATAAAGAAATCGGGTTCAACCTAAGAACCACCTTCTGGATACACTGTTAGTGGTCTCTTACAATGACAGAGCCCCAAGTAAACGGTGTATAGTTTGACTCTCATCTGTCTGATCGTGGCTTTGTCTGTAAGGTTTTCCCATCGTTGAATGGATTTAGTTTGCTTGGTTATAAATTAAAATTCAGCGAGTAACTGGATGAATAACAGTATCTCATCTGGGGAACTGTGCGAATGACAAAATCTGTCTTTCAGATTCATCCATCGGAGGTGCTGCTGCTTCAAATTATGCAAATTCCACTTGGGGTCCAGGAGCCTCCTCCAGCAACGGCGCTGCTGCCAACCCCCCTCCCACCTGGGACAAGGTGATTGTAGACGGGTCTGACATGGAAGAGTGGCCTTGTATCGCCAGCAAAGACACTGAGGCTCCTTCCGAGAACACCACCGAGAACACCAGTGCCTCGAACCCTGGCTCTGAGAAAAGTCCTCTGCCAGGAAGCACCACTAGTCACAAAGGAAAAGGAAGCCAGGGCCCCCCTGGGGCTTCTGGGAGCGAATGTAATCTTGGGGTCTGGAAATCTGACCCCAAGGCTAAGTCTGTTCCCCCTTCCATCTCTGCTGCAGAGAGCAACAACGCCCTTGGGAACTGGAGGAACGTGAGTGGTCAGGAGAGGGTCGGTCCTGCTTCGGGCTTCAGCAACTTCAACCCAAATAGCAACCCGTCTGCCTGGCCCGCGCTGGTGCAGGAGAACAGTTGTAGGAAGGGAGCCCCGGAGGCCGAGAGCGGCAACCCCAGCGCGCAGGCGGGCACCGCCGGCCAGGCGTCCAAGATGGAGAACAGCACGGGGGTGAACTATGCTGTCTCTGGCCGGGAACAGGCTCCAGGTCATAACACTGATGGACCAAAAAACGGAAACACTAACTCCTTGAACTTAAGCTCACCAAACCCCGCCGAGAATAAGGGGACGCCCTTTGGGGCGGGCTTGGGGAGCTGCTCCAGGGGCGCGGACGCCCCGCCCCAAAGCACTGGAGACAGGCAGCCAGGGAACGCTGGGTCTCGGGGCACAGGCAGGGGGTCTTCTGGAACTGACACCGTCTCTGGACAAAGCAACTCTGGAAACAATGGGAACAATGGGAAAGAGAGAGAGGACGCCTGGAAGGGCGCCTCGGTCCAGAAATCAGCGGGCTCAAAAAGCGACTCTTGGGACAACGGCGGCAGGTCAGCGGGCGGCGGGTCCTGGACCTTTGGCCCGCCGGACCCGAATGAAAGCAAATGGGGTGAAGGGAACAAAATGACATCCGGGGTCTCTCAGGGAGAATGGAAACAGCCGACTGGGTCTGACGAGTTGAAGATCGGAGAATGGAGTGGTCCAAACCAACCAAATTCTAGCACTGGAGCATGGGACAATCAGAAGGGCCACCCCCTCCCTGAAAACCAAGGCAATCCCCAGGCTCCCTGTTGGGGGAGATCTTCGAGCTCCACAGGAAGTGAGGTTGGGGGTCAGAGCACTGGAAGTAACCACAAAGCAGGAAGCAGTGACAGTCACAATTCCGGACGCCGGTCGTACAGGCCCAACCATCCCGACAGCCAGGCGGTCTTGCAGACTCTGTTGAGCCGGACTGACCTGGACCCCCGGGTGCTTTCCAACACTGGCTGGGGCCAAACTCAAATTAAACAGGATACGATCTGGGATATCGAAGAGATGCCGAGGCCCGAGGGGAAATCGGATAAAGGGACGGAGGGGTGGGAGAGCTCTACCACCCAGACAAAGAACTCAGGGGGCTGGGGAGACGGACCCAGCCAAAGCAATCAAATAAAGTCTGGATGGGGTGAGCTCTCAACCCCTACAGAATGGAAGGACCCCAAAAACACAGGCGGCTGGAGCGATTACAAGAACAGCAGTTCCTCCAGCTGGGGAGGAACGAGACCAGAGGAGAAGGCGTCTTCCTCGTGGAACGACAATTCCGGCAAGGATCAGGGCTGGGGAGGGCGCCAGCCTAACCAAGGATGGACATCAGGAAAGAACGGATGGGGAGAAGAAGTCGATCAGACAAAGAACAGTAACTGGGAGGGCTCGGGAAATAAACCAGCACCCGGTTGGGGTGAAGGAAGCCAAAACGAAATTGGGACTTGGGGAAACGGTGGAAACGCAAACTTGGCTTCCAAAAGCGGATGGGACGATTGCAAAAGATCTCCAGCCTGGACGAACGAGACGGCTCGGCAGTCCAATTCCTGGAATAAACAGCACCAACAGCAGCAGCCGCAGCAGCCGCCGCCGCCGCCGCAGCAGCAGCAGGAGGCCTCCAGCTCCTGGGGAGCCCCGCCACAACCACCGCCTCCAGGCAACGGGCGGACCCCCAACCCCAGCTGGAACAGTGGGCCACAGCCATCGGCTCCTAAGGACGAGGAGCCCAGTGGCTGGGAGGAGCCTTCCCCGCAGTCCATTAGCAGGAAGATGGACATTGATGATGGCACGTCAGCCTGGGGAGACCCAAGTAGTTACAACTACAAGAATGTGAACCTGTGGGATAAGAACTCTCAAGGGGGCCAGGCCCCACGAGAACAAAGCCTGCCCACCCCGATGACGAGCAAAACATCATCAGGTCAGTCTGAGCCCCTTTTTCTCAGTACTCCAGGTGATGGTCGATGTGAAAAGTCTGAAGAGCAAAGGCCATAGCTATCCAGGCAGTGATTTTACAAATGAAGTCGCAGCTTCTGGCTGCGTTTTGTGACTCGGTATCCGAGTCTGAATAACAGCCAGTTACTCCCATTGTCAGCACCTCAGGTTTCCCCTCCTGAGATGGTTTTGGTTTTGGTTTTTTAGTTTTTTAAAATAATTTCTTTCTCCTAGGGCCCAGCTGCCGTGGTTTGAATCTCTCAAGAGAATTTGATCGCCACCTTGATATGGGTGTTTCTAAATATTTAGCCCCATGAAGAAGTGAGGGCCATCTCTGCTGACTCTTGCTTTGTCCAGTGGTTTGAGATTGTTTCTCACAACTTAGATTACTGGAGAGTCCAGTTAGTGGGGAAGAGCTGGGGCCCACGTATGGCAGGGCCATACGTGGCTGGCAGGTCATTGAACCCTCCGTGGGCCTCAGTTTCCTTTGTCTGTAAAATATGAGGGCACTGGGCTTGCTTACCTCTGGGGCTTCCTCCAGCTCTCCTTCAGTGTCAGGAAGGTTCACAAGAACAGGGTCAAAATCTTCAGGAGAGAGAAGGCACCTTAGGTGTGCAAGGGCATCCGAAGCGTGGCCTTGCTCGCCCTCCCTGGCTTTTGGGTGCACTGCTTTGGACAAATGGAATTTCCCACCTCAGGAACTTTGCGGGCCTTCAGAAGAATGGTTCCTGCCCATTCAAGGTTGTGGGGATGACAATAAGCCGGTGCCACGCCCCCACCCCCATCTCCCACCTCTTGTTCTGTTTGGAGACTGAAATCTTGGTCATTCCCAGGGTCAGGTTTGGAATTCAGAGTTTATGTTCCTTTTTGCAGGAGTTCATGTAGAATCCATGGGGGATATTAACTCAGCTCTTAAATTTAGTAATAAAATAGTACAGGCTTGCTGAAGACAGAGATGGCCCTTCCTAATAGTACATTGTAGCATCCGTGTTTGTCCTAGTGTTTTTCTACAAGAGCATGAGAACCCAAAGACATCCTTTTGGTGGGGGGGGGGGGGGGATGCTTCATTAGATGGGAAGAAATGATTTTACTTAGTAAATGATGTTTAATTTAAAAAAAAAAAAACTTTTCTTTCTCTTTATAGTCTGGAGCAAAAGCACACCACCTGCTCCAGATAATGGTACATCAGCTTGGGGTGAGCCAAATGAAGCCAGCCCTGGGTGGGGTGACATGGATGAGACAGGAGCATCCTCTACAGGCTGGGGTAGTACCCCCTCCAGTGCTCCAAATGCCATGAAACCCAGTGAGTACAAGCTGGTTTGGCACCCAAAAGGTCCTGTGATCCTCTGGTGGGTTGGGGGCTGCATGGGAGCTTTAGTCATTACGCTGCATTTAGACGGGCTCCAGAATCTCAGAAGTGCGAGAATAGCTCAGCTGTAGCTGGGGGTTAATGGTCAGTAGGCAAACCCTGGAGTCACAAGGCCTGGGAATGAACATGTCCTTAGCACTCACCGTGCCTTATGTGGGCTCTCAGCTTCCTTGTCTGAGAAATGGAAATGATGTGGGTACTGCTCACTTCACAAATTGGGTGTGAGAAAAGTGCTTGGCAAACCTGAGCCAGTATTGCATAAATGTGAGTTGTGGCTGTTCTGGGCTACAAAATGTATGATGTAAAATCCTCAGAGGGTTAGAGTTTTCAGCTCATAGTACCCGACTGGAATGGAAATCAAGGCTATTGACATGCTGATTTCATGATAAGTAAGAATGTATTATTCTGAACATTGTACTGATCATCTCAGTCTTACGGAAAATGCTAAGAGATGGTCTCTTTTCCTTAGGTGTGCCATATTCTCTTCTCTTCCCTGATTTTTCCATGTGCTTGCATTTCAATCATACACTCACAGAGAAATAATTACCTCCAAGAGAGAATCTTTCCTGTCTTCCCTCTCATTCCTTTCCTTGCCCTCTGCGTCTGTCTGACTCTCTCCATCTCTCCCTGTCTCCTTCACCCCCTTCTGTCTCTGTCTCTTTCTCTTTCCTCCTCTCTCTCCCTCCACCTTTGCTTTTTTCTGCCTCTTTCCTTCTCTTTCCACAGAGGGTGGATTTTAGGAGCAGGTGCTCTGTGTTTCAGAGATGCAGGTATATTATTAGTGTTGATAAGGAGAACTGTCCTCAGAATAAGAATAATTCAAAAGCAGAATGGGAGTCCTTGAGGGGTGAGCTCTTCCAGCAAATGACTCCTTGTTGGGGATATTGGCAAAGGAATCCAATCACCTTGGGACCAGGCAGATGCTCGCTCAGGGATTCTGCCCTCTCACAACAGGCCAGATTTTAGAAACTGTGGTTAAATTGAATAGATTATTTCAGAGGCCCATTTTAAACTGTTTTCAGCTTCTCCAAACTTTTCCAATGTCTGTTTTCTTCTGAAAAGCAATTTTATTGTGTCGTACCTTGGTTTTCTTACGTTAGTAAGTCTCCTAAAGAAGACTTTCACGAGTCTTGGAGAATACTGTGTCAGTGAACATTTGTTTGTTTTGTTAATTTCCAATTCAGGATTCAGATGACATGATAATTAGGCAAATAAGCTTGCCTGAACTGGTAAGGCTCAGTCCTGCCAGAAAGACAGAAAGCTTAAAAATTAAGTAGTTTACTATGTCTAGAAGTAAGTTGACTTACTTAGTTTTGAAGGGTCAGTCATCTTTCACTTTGTACAATAACTGTCTTCCAGATAAAGTGCTCATTAAGTACATTTGTTTCATGAAAATTCTATTTTCCCTTTGACTTTGCTGATAAAATCGGAGTTGAGTTTCTGTGGGAGAGATGCCAGTATGCCAACAGACGACCAAGTTCAAACGAAACATTTTGGGTGTTGGAAGACAGGGTGTCCTCTGGCTCAGTTGTGTAGAACTGTCCCAGACCTGGGATCTCCCTCCTTCCGTGACATCGTCTTGACCCTACTTCAGCCTCAGAGAATTGCTCTCCCAGTTGAGGGTACCCATGTGGGTCATTAGTGTCTCTTCCAGGGTGCTTGTAATAGCGCACTTAGCCAGATTTGTGTGTGGTCCCAACCCACGCCTTTGCCCCAGGCTAAAAATGTTGTGTTTGAGGTTTTAGGCCCCATAAAACAAGTTAGCTTACCGTTTAGTAATTCTCTGAACAAAAACTTTTTTAAATTTTAGAGTCTTTGAGGTAAAGAGGATCTTCTATGGTCTTACCACCTTGGAGGTTATGTAGTTCAACCCCTCCATAAAGCAGGCACCCCGTCTCTCCTGCCCCCTCCTCCCTTGACACAGATAGCCCCTTAGGTTTGGAGAGTAGGGATTGCTGAAAGATCTTCCTCCCAATAACCTCTCCCCCTTAGGCCTAGCTTGGCCCTCTAAGGACAGACAGAACCAGGCTAGCTCTTCCTCCATAATTACAGCCCTTCAGCTCTGTGCCCCCACCCTGAATCCAGACCTTCACCTTTCAGAACAAAATTTCTGTTGTTCCTTCAACTAGATCTCAGATGACTTGCTGTATATCCCTTTGCCCTCTAGACTAAGTACATATGTATGCTTGTATGTACAGACAGATAAAGGCTTATCTTAAGTGACTGCTTTTACTAAACTAGTTCTGAGTAATGGTGCTTTCCCCCAAATCTTTGAATGAATGCTAGCCATTCTCCGAATGCACAATGAAGCATTGTCCACACATTTCCTACTCAATCTCAGTCATATACATTAGTACTTAATCTTATATACCTGAAAGTCAGTCCTAGGGACTGTGAGAGCAGCTTTTACTCAAAGGGAGACTGTTTCCTCGTTATTTGTCCTATGACTTCTGTCAATGAGACAAGGTGGGTGGGGCACTTTCTGGGCTCTTCACTGATGCCAGAGTCTTCCACTGTGTCATGACGCCTGAAGGAACTCATGTGTAAGAGAGGGCCACTTCAGTCAGGCTGTACTTTGGAATGCCATGGAGCCCATCGTATTGGAATGAACCTGGCACATCTGGATGGCCCTTAGTGGGTGTTATCACAGCTGTTAGTGTCTTAGAAACAGCAGTGGGCTGTAATGGAATTGGTAACAGGCCAGAAAGTACAGCGTTTCTGGAATAACGAGATCTAAGTGATTTAAATCCCCCCCCCCCCCCCCCCCCCCCCCCCCCCCCCCGCCCCCCCCCCCCCCCCCCCCCCCCCCCCCGCTTCACACACTCTGTGATTTCAGGAAGTAGAAATTTGGAAGTAGACTTGGTTTGCATTAATGTAATTTTTTCCCAAATGGAACTTCAAACTGTCCTAAAATACCTTGCATCATTGAACAATTTAGCTTTAATCTAAAAGCTGTTGGAAGACCTCTGACCGTGAGAGGTTAGCGCTGACTCAAGCATTGATGTCCTGTTTACTACTGTAAGTGCTGAGGAAGGAAAGCTGAGTTCTAATAGAACTCTCCCTCTTGAGCAAATTCCCACTTTCTTCTCACCTTTTCCCCTCTTGCTTTTCCCCCTCTTTCTCCCCTTCTCTGCCCCCCTGCCCTCCCCCAAGTCACTGTTGCCTCACTTTCTCTGCCAAGATCTCATTCACCTCTAATGAATTTTCAGAGATCCGCTTTGCGTCACTGCCCTGCACATTCTCTTTTCTTCTTCTGTTGTGAGTATTTCTGGGCCGACTTTTCTCCTCCATTTCGTTTCAGATGAAGGGTTCCATGGTATCCCAGGTTTGTGGTACCTAGAGTGTTGCCCAGAAAGAACCAAAGACACTCACGGTATATATAGCCAAAAAGTAGGCAGAGGGCCCAAGCTGGGGGTTGTGGCGTCCCCCTGCCCCATGTCATCTTTCCACCTCAGTTTCCTTTCCACAAAAAGGCAACACAGTTTGTACCACGTATGTCACTGAGCTGTTGTGGAGCTGGTGCTCAGTGAACACGAGTGAGTCTTACTCTGCAGGGAGGAGGGCAGTGACACTATGCTGGGTAAGGGAGCCACGAGACATTGTGTTGGACTTAGGAGCAGTTGCAGGCACCACATCTGTGGTAAAGTCCGTCTAGTCCCCTGGTCATGACTGCCGAATGTTGAATTATTTCTCTTCCTTAAAGACTCCAAATCTATGCAAGATGGATGGGGGGAGAGCGATGGGCCAGTGACAGGAACCCGCCATCCCAGCTGGGAAGAAGATGATGACGGAGGAGTTTGGAACACCACAGGCTCTCAGGGAAGCAGCTCCTCTCATAATTCAGCAGGCTGGGGACAAGGAGGCAAGAAACAGCAAGTGAAGGTAAAAGGGATGGGGGGTAGGGTGAGTCCAAAGTTGCTGCTTCTATCAGGTTCATTTGCAGAAGGGTTGGGAAAGTGGAAATTTTATTCACTCTGTTCCTGAGAGGTAGGTTTGGTTCTTTTTCCTTTGGCCAAAGAATTCATTGCATCGAGTTCGCCGGTTAGCCTGGGGTGACCCACGATAGAGATTTTAAGATCATTCAGTGTCATAAAAGTCTTAATTTTATTTATCCTTTTCCTACTGCTGTCATCTCCTGATCCACTGTTCTTCTGACCTTGACTGACTGGTCTGTGTTTGGAGGGTGGATAAAGTCATTCTTGATCATGTATGAGGAGCGCCTAAGCATGAACAAAGGGTTTGCTAAAACTCGTTTCTTATTTTAGGTTCTTATTGGAAGCCATTAACATACGTAGAAGTGATAAAATCATAGGATTTAAAACTGAAAAGATCTTAGAAATCCTCTATTCTGCTCCCTCATTTTAGCCATGAAAGGGACTTGGCTGTAGGCCTTGAGTAAATAGCAGATCGAGGCAGCCAACCCAAGTTCTTGACTACAAATGTATGATTATTAGGTGAAGAATATAAAAGATTTACAAAGAGGGAAAATGGGTCCTGCAGTATGTTAGCTCCCCTTAGTATGCTTTGACAAGTAAATAACCACCAAAGAAAGATGATGGTGACTTCAGTGGTTGAAGAGCAATATGTTGAAATTATGATTAATGAGGAAACAGGGTTAAAAATAATTCCCCATCAAACCGAAGTTCACTTTTTAGAATTAGGTGATGCCAAACATGAGGGATATGTCAAGAGTCCTGTTGATGATATTCTGATGCCTCTAATAGAAAGCTAGAAGCATCTTTTCTGTAATGGATCTGTAATTTTGTCTCACTGACTCTCTCTCCACAAGATCAGTTATTGTTCTTCTGGCCATAGTAGTTGGTCTTTGAGAGTGCATTGGACAAAAAACTGATCATCCCATGGCCAGCCACGCTGGTGTCAAGCATTTCCAAGCTGAACTAGCTGGTTCCATCGCCAGCACCATATAGGATGCCTTTCATCTTAGGAAGGGCAGGGCAGAATCTGCATTCTTAGGGCATAACTTGAAGAAAAATAAATTCGTATTGGTGTCTTGTCTCCACATAAACTACGTTCCCCAGTGTGTCCCTGTCCTTTGACCTTCCGGGGACATAGCCTTTACTTTTGACAAAGAATGAAAAAAAAGGAAGAATCATTCAGCAAAACTCCAAACACACAGAAAAAACATGAGACTGTAAGCTCTGGTCCACCCTCATGGTGGTCTGCCCCCACAAAGAAGGGAGGAGAGGTCTGGGGCCAGTTCTGAGAACTTAAGTCCACTCTACCCACCTACCTGCCCACACAATAGGACATCAGAGGAAGGCATGAGTAAAGGAGCTTGACACGTTAGAAAAACTGACCCTCTCCTTACTGTTTTCATGTAAAGGTAGTCTTTCATATCTGTCTAGAGCCACAGAACTCATTCCCATTGCCAACATAAATGCCCAGTTGTTTTCCTTCTAGGCTTTGTTCTTTACAAAACACATAAACAGCATTGTTGAATATTAATAAAAATGAGAATAGGTGACCTCTTACTTAGCTTTTCTTAGTTAATTTATTCATCCACAAGCATTGATTAATTAAGCGCCTACTTACCTTAGAAAGGTTCCAGTATCCTGCCTGACCCTAGTTGTTGCTCTGGGTTCATATTGTGCCCCCATGTCTTTGATCCTGCCCGAAAGAATGTGGCACTAGCAGACTTTCTGGCCAACAGATGTGCTTTTTCTCTCCTTGCCTACTAACTACAAAGAAGAGAAATTTGTCCATTCGGTAAACATTTTTAAAGCACCTACTGTGTGCCAGACACTGGGCCAGAGAGAAAAAGACAAACCTGAAACATTCTGCCATGGAAGAGTTTCCCATCTCTTGAGGAGAACAACATGTACGTAGAAAGTTCAACACAAAATAAGTTATTGGGTGGTGGGAAGAGGCTTCCTGTTGAGAGAGAAGTTGCTTGAGCTGGCCTCTGAAGGAAGCCCGGGAGCCTCAGAGGTGGGGCTGAGGAGTGTGACTGTGAAGGTCAAAGACCTAACCTCAAGCCTGCCTGTGTGACCGGAGGATCAAGGCCAGGAAGGCTGGCTCCTCTCTGGCCACCAGCCGGGCTACGTGAGCCCGAGGCTTCTCCCAGCTAAAATCTCAGGATCCTTTGACACTGCTACACTAATAACCTAAAAGACAAGCGAGGGCAGGAGGCCGTGTTTTTAACAAAACTCACATCTAATTTCAACTTTGAAGGTTGTCTTTATCCTGGACTCTCCCAGGAGCCTGGCCAGGAAGCCGTGCTGGGGGAGGACGCAGCCTTTGGGGGGCTGGGGGCACGTGCTCCAAGGGGCATCCCTGCCAAGGAGGTGCCTGGCCTGCTGTGTACAGATGTGCAGCTCCCAGAGCCAGCCTCAGAGCCATGGGGAATGGAGCCTGCTCTTGGGAACCTTCTTGGCCCCCATTGGATTCACGTGACAGGGATTGGTGCCGCAGCAGCCGACTCGGAATTCATAGAGGGGTTTTTGGTAGATGTGAGATGATAGATCTAGAGGTGGAATGGCAGAAGCCAGTCAGTCCCGATCCCTCATTTTGCAGATAAGACAGGCAGAGAGGCCGCATGGCTCGCCCAGGGTCTACAACAAGAAAGTGTCGAAGGCAGATTTTTTTTTTAATTAATTTTAGTTTAATTTCAAAGATGAGCCTTTTCTTCCTTCCACCTCCTTTCACCCCATTGAAAAAGCAAGAAAAACAAAGCACAGTTTCTCGTTGACCGCATCTTTAAAATATGTCTCAGGCTGCACACGGAGTCTACCACCTTTCTGTCAGGGAGTGGGCACCGTGTTTAATTATTGTATTGATCAGAGTTCCTGATTTTTCTTTTTCTTTAAAAAAAAACTTTGTTTTGTTTTAATCAGCCAAAATCCACCTTCTCAGTCTTCCCCTCCACCCCTGCATTTGCTCTGGCACACTTCCCTAAACAATAAAGTCATTATTTAGTAAATAAAGACTGAGGCATTTAACTGAAAGTTAACTTTGCCAAAGATTTAGAAAGAGAATTGAGGCACCTCCTGCAGCAGTCTGCCACAAATAAAGGAGTGGTTTCAAAATTGATCAGCAGAATTAGAAGGCGACTACAGCAGCAAGACAGTTCCCAACAAGAGGCACGGGTCTCAAACCCATGCCAGGCCACTGCAGCAGGGGCAGGCGCCAACTGGCATCTCCGCTGCCCACTACCCAGTCCCAAGGCAGAGTGAGAAGGGCAGTGGCGCTGCTGGGTAGGGAGGCCCTGGGCAGTTTACTGAAGCTGCCGCCACCACTGCCAACAGCAGCATCAGAGCAGGCGGGGTCTCGCTTCCAGCCTCTAGCCCAGGCTGCAGGGGAATAACCAGAGTGAGAATTCCCAGACCAAAGGGGAGCCTACAGTTCTGCTGCTCTGAACCCCCAGGGTTTCCCTGCCGGCTGACGGGGGCCAAGTCCAACAGCATCCACTCTGCAGAGCGATCAGACTCTGCCCTGGTCAGACCACTCTGGGAGCACTGAGAACTTAGACGTCCCTAGCCTGAGCTGTCCCTGAGACCCTGAAACAACCTGACATTCGATACCCCAAGAAAGCAGCAGTTTGTGCAGACCTCCCTCTGTCTCTGAGCTGCACTAGACCAAGAAGTCTCTGGGACTTCAGGCTTTCCCCATCAAAACTGGATGAAGTACAATTTCCAGATCTGTGAGGAAGAGTTTGTGGACAAGAGCTCCCTGCATTGTTTCCCATGCCTCGGCCAGAGTTGGAACTCGGGTCTTCCTGACAAGTCCAGCACTCTCTCCACTGCACTGTCAGACCTGTGGAAATAGCCAGTGAGCGTCTCCCTATACTCCCACCAAAGAGGAAAGACCCTTGGAATTAATTCCATTTTAAATCGTGTCTGCTGTCAGCTGTCCTGTTCTCTGTTCTCCCAACTCAGGCAAGCTTGAATTAGAGAGCGTATACCTTGGGGAACAGGAGAATACTGAGCTAGAAAATGCGATTTTCAAAAACTTGTTATCTGCTTCCTGCAATTGAATTGATTTCAAATCCCACACAACGTGCAACTGGCTGTTTGGGAAGTCATTCAACTTTGTGCTGTCTAAATAAGCCAAGTGGGGCTGAAAGCTACACGTGGATCATACCATCCCCAGCTCCAAAGAGTAGTAGTAAGGTTCAGACAAGTACCGTTTAAGTCCTTCATTGTAATGAGGAGAAGAAAGATTTCTTTTTTTGTTCTGACATTGTGTGTTTTATGTGTGTTTTGTAGTGTTCACTAAAAGGCGGAAACAGTGATTCCTGGATGAACCCTCTTGCCAAGCAGTTTTCAAATATGGGATTGCTGGTACGTTTAATTCCTCCCCCGCTCCCAGCGACGGCTGCTTCTTACTCTCATTCTCCTGAGGTTCCCACAGAATGTCTTGCCACCTTTTGTAGAGAGGCACAGACTTAGCGTTCAGCTGATGCCCTTCCAGCTGGACATGTGAGAAATGATAGAACCGTTGTCATGATTGGCGTTCTGCAGTCACCGTCTCTTCTCTTGTCATACTGGTCTTTTCCCAGCCCTCTTGAGCTGAATCATCTCCCTCGTCTTTGACTTTTAAGTTAGTTGTCATTTCCGGGGTTTCAAAATCGAAAAGAGTCCTGACAGTTATGATACTAGATTTGCCCTTTACTTTAAGAAGTAAACCAGGTCATGAGTGAAAGGTGGAAGGGTGGGAATCCTTGGTGGTTTTCTTAATGTATTTCTGCCTTGTTGGGGGCATTTTGTCCCTCAGTGCCAGAAGCACAGCAGCTTCCCTTGGCTGCACGTTTCAGGATTCGGTGACTTGAAAAGTCACGAGGAGGAGTGGTCATGGCCTGGCGTCTCGGCCTAGAGTTTGATGCCAGCCCTCCTGGTGCTTGAGAATAGTGGCTTGTTTCTCCCCAACACTGTTTATCTAACTCTTCCTCTCCGCCTCTTGAACTTTGTGGTCACTTTGTACGTGAAAATTGAACTCCATTCATCCAAAGGAGCTGACAGGAGTCCTGTTAGTTTATATTGAGGCTGGGTTAAAAAGGCTTCATTTGGTGCATTCTTCCTCCTTTGTTGACATGGGATTCCGGGAGTGTCCTTGAATGACTTTCTGCATACCTGTGCTAAGGGCTGGCTTTTTGGAGAAAAGTGCTGCCTCCTCTTTTCCAGAGGCTGTCTGCACATGCAGCCTGATCTGCTCTCATTTCTTTTTTCTTTTTCAGAGTCAAGCTGAGGACAGCCCAGCCAGTAAGATGGATTTATCTGTAGGTGTGTATTGCCATGACTGTTACTGTTACCGTATTGATACGGAATGGACTTTGATTTTCATCACATCATCTGTGGCACCTCCTAGCAGGAAAGGGTTGAGGAGTTAACAAACTGTAGGCCGTCTGCTTCAGTCTCTTAGCATGGATTGAGAAGGAATCCTCCCTCTGGCAAGTGATCTTGTCCCAAGTGGTCCAGCCACCCCAGAAACCCTCCTTCACTCTCAGCTGAACAAACACTTGGCTTCTTCAGGGAGTTCATGAGCAGGGATGGGGAAGAAAATACAGATTCTCTGGGCTTTACCATACTTGATTTCCTTTGTAATCGTATAGATTTGATTTTATGCATTTAAAAGCATAATTCTTGGGAAGGGTCCAGGACACCCAAGAAGTTAGAATCCCCCAGTGTGAGGGATACAGAGATGGTGCGGTCCTCAGCTACGAACAGTTTGCAGTCTTGTTAGAGAAAATCCACACATACGTAAGGATACCTGTTAGTACGAGTCAGTCGAGTGGTGGGTGTCCAGTGGACCCCTCTCCGAGGGAATCCCTCCCATGTGGGATGATGGGGGAAGGGGCTTCAGGCCAGTTTTTGGGGCATGGTTAATAGCTGCAAAGGTGCAGCTGGTTGAGGGCTCAGAATGGGGCACCTTTACAAAGCCACCTAGGTTTCATTGTGGCATTGTGTTCTGGGAAAGAGTTGAGTGGATCCATTTGACAGGATCAAAGGGTTTATGTGAGGGGGATATATAATAGGAAAGGAGAGATATCCAGAACTGTACAAAAGCCCTAATCTAAAAAGCCTTCACAAATGTTCAGTTATGTTAAAACTCAGGTTGTTTTGTTAAACTTTTATTAAAAGATCACCCTGAAATCTTTAATATTCTGATCAAGAGTTGATATTCATTGAAATAATTTAGGGGAATTGAGATGTCTCACCTGTTTCTATGATTTATTGAAATTTTTTCCCTGCCTTTTGGACCATACAACAGAGGCTAGCCTAGTAAGGGAATAGATTCTTGACCACTAACCATCCCCTTTCTTCTCATTGCTTTTTCAGGGAGCCTTCCTGACAAGAAGTTTGATGTGGACAAACGAGCCATGAATCTCGGGGACTTTAATGATATCATGAGGAAGGATAGATCTGGGTTCCGTCCACCTAATTCCAAAGACATGGGAACCACAGATAGCGGGCCTTACTTTGAAAAGGTGAGGGTAATTCTTGATGATGACCAGTTATACAAGAGATCCATTTGGGTTTTCATCTGGTGATTGAATCTAGGAAGGAGCATAGAATTCCCGAATCCAGAACTAAGCCCAGACATCGACAGCATATATCCTGTGAGATTACGGCCTTTGTTGCCGCAGAGCTGACAAAGTTTGGAGGGCAGATGTGTACATGTGGGCTGGCACATTCCATAGAAGGGGGACATCGTGAGGAAGCATAGAAATGGCTGCAGGCTAAGGGGGATCTCAGTCACTCTGAGCCATGAGCATTTCTGCTGGCTGGGCTGGTTGACATGGCGCGTGGGCCACAAAGTGGCCATCCCCGTTTCCCTCCCCCCTGCAGGTGGCTGGCAACTTTCTCCCTTTGCTCTTGAGAGAAACTTGCTGGTTACCTTCGTTTTCTGTCTTTTTTAAGCTGTACTGCTGTCTTGTGATGGATTCCTTTCACCAATATAAATAGACGGCCCTTTTGGTCTATGTTGATTGAATTCATGGTTTCTTTCTGGGGCAGGGGAAGGCTGGACTCAGAATCTTTCTTTTCGGTGTTTGTTAATTAATTTCACCACAGACCTCTAAATTATTGTCAAACTAAGGCCAGAAGTCAGTGGTAGGCCCTGATTGTGTTCAAGAAGAAGCATTTGCTGACTCTCCCTGTTCTCAAGAGGTCAGCGAATGCGCTGGAATGGGCTACAAGCAGGCCCCTGACAGCAGCAGTGGTGGTCCATATGTCCAGATTGCGACGCCAGGGTCCCTGGGCTTCTGTGCTCACAGGAGCCGAGTGAGAACTAATCAGCGTCGGATGTAGACACAGACACGTTGCCCGGCAGGTTTCTCTTCTGCCTCTGAGCAGAATGAGTCAGTAACGGGAAGATAAAGAGCCGCCTGGCCACTGCCGCAGCTGGTCTGTCAGGCAGAGTGTGGCTGAGCTGGTCAGATGCGATGTGGGGCCTCCTTGGTGCTAAAAGACGCTAACTTGGCTTGTTGCTGCTGTTTTCTCTTTTCCCCCTTTGCCTTCTGTTGCTTCACTAACCAACCCACGTTGGGATTGGCTAACGCCTGCTCTCCAGCTGACTTTGCCTTTCTCCAATCAAGACGGGTGCCTGGGGGATGAGGCTCCCTGCTCTCCCTTCTCCCCTTCTCCCAGCTACAAGCTGTCTCCCTCTGGCTCCACAGCACCCAACGTCAGCCTGGGGGCAATCGGCACAGGGCTCAACCCCCAAAACTTCGCTGCTAGACAAGTAAGGAGGCCTCTCCAATGTATCACTGGGACCAGGGCTGGGAGCTGGCCTTGATCCTGCTCTGCCCTTGCTATCAGTCTGGGGAACTCTGCTCTGCTGAGCCTATAATGTGAGAGGAAGCGTACACTGTGGGCATTTTAGTCCTTCAGCTTTCCTCTGTGGGCTTCTTGGGTTAGGTGTAGGCCAGAGTGACCCATTCCTTATGAATTTCAAATGACCAGGTCCACTCTCTGGAAAGGATAGGGAGGAGATGGTAGAAAGGTGCCTTGGTGCAGGACCGAGGGCCAGCCTCGATGATGCTGTTTCTAAACAGAATGATACAGCATATTGCTTCTCAATGCAGTCTGCTTAAGTCTGGGAGGAAAAGCTGCCCTCGGGAGAGAAAACCTTTAAGGATCAGAGCATTTGTCATATACCTGTAAAAGTAGCTGAGCAGTCTCAACCTCCTCTCTGGCTCTCTGACCAGCTACGTGAATGCTAGTGCCATACCAGACAGATTATTTCTGAGTGGGGTGGGTGCAGACAGGTAAGCCAGAGAACCCATCTCTTGAGGGCGAGCGAACAGAGGAGATGGAAGGGGGGCGGGGGGGGAAGAGAGAGACAGGTGTACTTCTGTCACTATTTCCCAGGATCAGGGACCTTTCTAGGAGTCTGGCTGTTGGGCTGTAGTGGGTGGCTCCTGTAGGGGATGCTGGTGGAGGAAAGATGGGAACGGTGTTCCTCTGTGCTTTTGGTTTTTAGTATAGTAGTGACAAAGACGGTTCCTTCCTTCCACTTGTCATTCAAGTCTTAAGACCCCCTGTCTCTTATTTGGTTCATATTTACTTTCACCTTTTTTCCAATGGTTTCTACAAGGCTGCTCTGGGACCTCGATAATTCAGACTGTCTCAGGCCAAATGTCACCTTTCAAGGGTCCTCATTGCTGCTATTAGGAATGCGTTTTGGGAGACCCTCCAGGGTTCCCGGAGTTTGTAATGTTGCCTGTTGGGTTCCCGTGTCATCTCAGCTCTGCATGCTGCCCCAACATAATCTTAAATGATGGCAGAAATGCAAAACCAGCCGTTAACAGTGGAATGACCCTGAAGAAAAGTTGTCACCTTTATTTCTTATGGGAAGTGTGTTCATTTCCACTGTGTGAAATGCCACAAGCCCAGTCATCGTAACAGGCTGGAAAAAGCTTAGTAGAGCCTGGCACATGGTAGGCACTTAAATGCTTTGCCTTTCCCCCATCCTAATTTGGTTATTTTTTTCAGCTTAAAAGTTTTTTCATCTTTATGCCTTTTTTCTTTTCATTATGATCCTTTCCAAATATATTCCTTCCTTGCCCAGAAGAAGATTCTACTTGTAGCAGTGATTTGAAAGAAAAATACAGTTCCATCAAAACAATGAGCACCCAGATGGGAGTCTGAGAGTGGATGTCCCATTGCATCCCTGTGGTACCCACCTTGCCCTGATGGGAGGGAGAGTCTTTTTTTTTTTTCTTTTACTTCTTGTCCAGGATCAAGCTTGATCCTGGTCATCACAAAGCATTCCATGGAGTTGCAATTTTTCTGCTCATGTTGTTACAGTCTTACATGCTGTTTTCCTGGTTCTGCTGACTTTCCTCAGCGTCACTTCATGTAAGTCCTTCTTTCTTACAGCAGCACCTTGAGATCCCATTCTTGATGTGCCATGTCATTCAGCTCTTCCCCAGGCTGCAGGCGCCTGCTTCCGTTCTGCATCTCTGTGACCACAGAAAGTACAACAGAGAACATTTCAGGATACGCGGGGCCTCGTCGGCATCTATACCAGCAGTAGGATTGTGGGGGCGAGGAACATGGATCTGCTAGGCCCTTTTTCAGAACCTTCAGCTTTGGCTGTTTCTATCCCATCCTGACTTTGGGCTCTAGTATAGCTGCAGTTGCCATCAGTTGGTTTCATGATATGGAGAGGTTTGCCCTCATGCTGGAAGCCAGGCCGGGCCTAGAGAGGTTCTCAGGGATTTCCAAAGGGATGCCTCCGAGCCTGAAGAGGAGAAAGGCAGTTTACTGGTCTAGATTCTCATGTTGTAGAACATTGGTGAGAAGGCATCTTTCAGCTCAAATGCTTTTTCTGAAGTCGACTCCTGAAACACGGCGTCCTCCGTGGAGGAGGACTGTGTCTGAACGCTCTTGGACAATGCCTTTCTGGTTTGCCTGCGTGCTGGCTGTTCCTCAGGCCTGTGGTTCTCCAGAGGTCAGGGATGTTCCCCTCTGTGGGTGGGCGGGCCCTGGCACTCTCTCTTCTGCTCCAGTCACTCGTCATCCCCAAGGGGGCTCTCTACCCCCAGATTTTTCCTGGTAGCTCCAGGCCTGGGTTTTCAGGTGCCTCCTTGAGGAGTCACACCATTCCCCAGAGGAGCTGCTCATTTTCTTCTGTTTTTTTCTGATAATCCTGCTCTTTTCCTAAGCACCCAGTCTCAGAACCTCTGAGTGACCTTGGTTCTTCCCATCCCTTTGTCTCCCTCCTCCCCTGCCCCAGTCCACTCAGCTGCCTTGCCTGTTAATTCTCCCCTCTGCGAATTCAGACCCTGTCTGCCCAAAAGGCTTCCCCATCCCTCTGTGGCCTCATCTCTTGTGGATGCGTGCTATGCTGCAGACTCAGTGATCCACTCCCTAGTCTCCCCTCTCACCCTGTCCCCACCTGACTCAGTGCGTTTGCCCATGCCAGCCTCAGCGGCTGCCCCGCGTCTGCATTTGTTGACGTTCCTCCTTTCCATCCACTCTTCCCTGGAAGGTTCTCCTCACCCACTTACCAAACCCTCCCTTGCATCCTAGCAATTTGGGTGCTTGTCTTGGCCAGCCTTTGGGGTGGTATTGTTGAGCACGAGAATAAACGTTCTTGGGTATGTCTGTCTTTGTATCCTCAGTGCACCCAAAGTAGGTGTTTAATATTTGTTGTTGGTCCTATTGAAGACCTTAGCATCTTGGGACCAAAAAGGTGCTGACTCAGATCCAGAGGAAACTTTTCCCCCTCCCACAAGACATAGGGTATACAGAAGCAGCAGCAAAGCTTCCTGCTCTCTCTCTAGCCTAGACACACTGGAACCTCTTTAATACTTTGGTTCTTTAGAAATCTGACAGACAACCCATACCATGATGAGTTTTGACATTTTTCTCTTATTCCATTTGAAAATGATGTGGGTATTTAGTAAAACTAGGGCATATAAATAGAGTGGCTAAGAAAATGGCATTCTTTACTGGGGATGCTGTTAGCTGCATTGAACCCAAAAGCCATCAGCTATTGAGCAAGCTCCAGGAGCTTGGGCACTTGTCAGGTCTTGGCGCTTGAAGGTGGTCCTGGGGTGAGAAGCTTGCTGGGTGGAGAATTCTTTTACCTCACAGGCTATGCAGGCCTCATACCTTCTGCAGGTCAGCAGTGGGAGTTAGGCCAGTGTCTGCTTCTTGGTGTTTTTCCTACTGAAAATAAATAAAGTTCTTCGGCTCTCCTTTTTCTCTTTTTCACAGGGTGGCAATCATGGTTTGTTTGGAAATAGCACAGCACAATCGCGGGGCATGCACACGCCGGTGCAGCCGCTAAACTCTTCCCCTAATCTGCGGGCGCAAGTGCCTCCCCAGTTTATTTCTCCCCAGGTAAGCAGTTTGATGTCTCGGAATGCCAGAAACAGGGGGTTATGAGCCGTTAACTTACCTGCGGTGGATTTTGTGAAAGTTAAAGGCGTCATAGCTGCCAGTATTTATTGAGGATGTTACTGGGTGTCTGGAATGAAAATTCATGGGCATTATATCAAATTACAAATCTTGTTATTGTTTTGCATGGGGAAAAAATAGAAAATCCTGTGGTCACTTTTTAAAAATTCTAATTTAAAAGGAAATCAGATGTTGACTGATTGTCCTGTGTCCCTTCTTGAGAAGAGCACAACACCGTTATTAGGAAAAATACTATAGAACCAGCTCCACTGACTTAGACTGCAGCACTGTCCATTCTGAGCTGCTTTTCTCTTAGAACTGGTGATTCTGTGCCTGGAGAGATGAGGCTGCTGCCTGAAAGGCACTGGATTTGAATTCTGCCTGTGTGAGCTTGGACAGGCAGGACAAGCTGACTCGTGGTCAGACCCTCCCTTCCCTGCCCCCGTGGTAACCTCTGGTGCAGAGATGGGGACAGGAGGCTCGTGGAACAGACAGATGAATGGGTCCAGAGCAGGGATGGAGGGGACCTTGACTTGTTCACTTCAGGCCGCCAAGTGCTCACCAGTGGCAAAGGAGCCGCATGTTCTCCTCTAATGCTGGGAAAGTGGATCTCACCTTCTCCCCATCTGGGCTACCCAGCCTGGAGAGCCCTAGTCCTCATGCTTTTATTAAATTATTAATAACTTTTATCCTAATTTATAATTCTTTATATATAAAGAATTATAAATAAATGCTAATAAATTAAAATATAAATTACTAAACAAATCCTTTTACAAAGGGGATTTGTTCTGTGAAGTTTAGATTTGGTCACAGGGCCACACTTGAGGACCTAAAGGGCCACATGTGGCCTCGAGGCCACAGGTTCCCCGCCCCTGGTATCCCAGCACGATGGAGGTGCTTGTGTCTTTTCTAAACTGTTCTGTTATCATTGTTGTTGCCTTTTTAATGACTGACATCCTCGTTTCTTATTTTTTTAGTTTTGTTATTGCCTTTTGTTTTTATGCCATAATTATTTCCTCTTTAATTCCCACCACTACCACCATTGAATCCTTGTCCCCCCAAAAAAGTTTCAGCAAAGCCCAACCAACAACACAGCTTTGCTCATGACACACTCTGATTGTGTATCTGCACCTCACTGATCGCATTGCTTCTCCACCTCTGTAGCCTGAAGTATTTCCCCTACCTTGAGAGGTGCAAGGTTTGTTTCCTTAGTAATTCTCCAGGAGAATGAATGTTCCTCACAGTTCGTAGGCTTGGTTTTTTTTTATTGTCTTTGATGTCTTTTACTGTTTGTTTTTCATTATTATTATAAGTCATGATTGTATGCATCACTTGTGTTATTCTCCTGGTTCTGCTTTCTTCATTATCATCCCTTCAAACAAATCTTCACACATTTCTCTGAACTATATGGACGTCTTAAAGAGTCTCTTCCCACTCAGTCACTTTTTAACCCTGTTGCTATGTCACCGTTTTGCTAATAGTATGAATTTCTGTCAGGTTCAGTTTTCTCTAAGACGTGTATATTAAACTTAAGTCAGTAAGAAAAGTTCAGTTTCTTTGTATCCCTTTCTAGACTTTTGTTATCATGTTATATTGATTCTCTTTATCTCCTCTTGTTTGTTGGTGTTCATTCACTTCAGTTGTGTCCAACACCTTCTGACTCTGTCTGGAGTTTTCTTAGCAAAGATGCTGGAGTGGTTATTTCCTTCTCTAGCTCATTTTTCAGATGAGGAAACTGAGGCAAGCAGGATGAAGTGATTTGCCCAGGGTCACACAGCTAGTGAGCATCTGAGGCCAGATTTGAACTCACCAAGATGAGTCCTCCTGACCCCAGATCTGGGGCTGTGTGCACTGTGGAGCCCCTAGCTGCTGCTATTTCCTCTCCCATTTCTCACTAAATCATCCCTGCTGCCTCCCCCAGCAGAGTCCAGCCCTAGTCACAAGTAAGTACAGACACTTTGGCCCCATAGGCCCCTTGCCTGCTCTGGCAGCCTGTGTCCCCTTTGACCTGTAATCCATCCCCTCTCTGGTGAGAGGCAGGAGGCTGTGAGGAGGGGGCGCAGAGCCATTGGCCTCACACGTGACTGTGGTGCTGCGCAGCCATTAGCTCTGATGTCCGTTCCCATCTTCTTCTTCCTTCTCCGTGTTTGTCATTTCATAGGGCACGGTAACATTCCGTTGTGTGCATATACACAGTGCGTTTAACTCTTGTCTGATGATGAAAGCCTCCTTTATTTCCAGTGCTTTGCTACCACAGAAAATGGCTACAGAAACACCCTCACGCCCTTCTCTAATTTACAAGGATACTGTCATTGAGCAATCTTCCGTGGTTCCTGTTTTCCTGCCCAGTTAGTCTTTTTGTAATCCATCTTCACCTTCTCGTCTGCTGCTCTTGTCTGTGTCCTCCCGTACCCATTCCTCGGGGGTGGAGCCGGGGCCGTTCACTAGACCTTGACGGTGGAGGGCTGAGGCGGTCCTGACAGGCCATCTCCCGGTAACTGCCTCCTGCCCCTGTTTCTCCTCAGAGATCCCCCATGTCTCTCTGCAGGATGTGATGCCGTGTGCTCCCCCCAGCCTCCACACTTGGATAATCTGCAGTTTCGCGTTCCACAACTCACAGCCGGACTATAGACGTTGCCCCGCCTGGCTCTTTTCAGTTTTTACCCACATCCCCATCTTCCCACTCACACGGTCACTTTGCAGGGCCAGGCCTATCATAGTAGCCTGGCCGCCTGCAGTCTCTCCCCACTCCAGTCCTTGCACACAGACATCTTGGTGGGTCACACCAGCTCCTTGGCTTCATGTTCAAAGCTCTTTGCATCCCAGCTCCTTCCTCCCTTTCCAGTCCCTTCACTCAGTAGCAAACCCTACTGTCCCACTGTCTTTTCTCTGCCACGCTCCTCTCTGTGTCCTGCCCTGCTGACCACTCCCCAGTCCCCCCACCACAGGCCTGGAGTGCTCTCCCTCTTCATCTCCACATCTTCAAGTAGCTGATGGGCTCAGGAGCCTTCTCCAGGGACATCTTGCTTGGGAGGCCTTTCTCAGTGCCCCAGCAGCTGGTCCTTTCCCTTCCGAGACTGCCTTGTCTCTGTTCTCTGTGGATTTTGCAAAGCATGGAGCTGCATTGATATAAGTGTGCACGTGCCCGTAAATGAGACCATGAGGTAGAAATGGTCGTCGAAAGGCTTTGAATAACAGAGCAGTTTTAACAGATCCATCCATTCCATAGCTCAGCACAGGGGGCTAAAGGGAGCGCCACAAAGAACACCTGTGCGAGGGGTTGTGTTGGCTCCAGCCACAAGGTGTCCACGATGGGGGCAGCGGTGGGGATGAAGAGGAGCAGGGGCATCCCAAAAGACTCGTGGCGACGGAGGCGGCTGCGATACTGGAAGCTGGCTGTGAGTGGCCAAGATGGGAGATGAAGGGGCCACGGGGGCATGAGGAATGGCTGAGTCAGGAGGAGGGAAAGGCCTTGACTGGGGACAGGTTGAGGCAGAGCTCCAGGATTTCCCAGGATAGACACTGTTTAGAAGCTTCAGGGGAGAAACCTGAACTAGGAAGGTAGGTTTGGGAGTCAATAATAGCAGTCACGATGGATATTTTAAAAGCTTTCAGACAGTTTACATCCTTTTAAAAGCCCTCTGAGGTTGGTGCTCCAGGCATCGCCCCATTTTATAGCTGAGGAAACGGCACTGCAGAGGGGGCTTCCCCATGGTCAAGCAGAGGGATCCTCTCCACTGTATCCCCTCTTCCTCTTTGAAGCAGTGAATAGGGGAGACAGCCGCCCTATAGGATGTGTGTAGACAGAAAAGATGACGGAGGGGGCAGCTCGGTGGCGCAGTGGATAGAGCACCAGCCCTGGAGTCAGGAGGACCTGAATTCAAATCCAGCCTCAGACACATAACACATACTAGCTGTGTGACCCTGGGCAAGTCACTTAACCCCACTGCCTAGCCAGAAAAGACAAAAAAAAAAAAAAAAGATGACTGAGGGCAGCATGGTGATGGAGTGCCTTTCTGAGGGAACAGGAAGCATAGCCAGAGACGGAGAAAAGGATTGTTTAGCGAGATAGGAGAAGACTGGTCTGCCCGGGAGTGTGGCCAATAATAGCAGAAGTTCCTGGACACGAGATGAGATTTCTCTCTGTTTCACAAGTGCAATGTGCTTCTAAGGAAAGAGTGTTCATCTTTAAAAATCAAGGGGTCTTAGTATCCTGTTAGCTCAGCAGTTTGTGAGATAGCAGGCAAGGAAGTTAACGTGGTGCCAGACTACATTAGGAGAGGGCCTCTGCCCTAGTCGGACAACCCCTGGGATAGAAGACATTGACCAGCCAAGTGTGTCCAGGGGAGAGTGACCTGCGTGAGAAAAGGCCCAAAGACTGTACCACCTGGAGGTGGATTGAAGGGATTGGAAACATTCAGTGTAGAGAAGGCTTAGGGAAACCGTGGGAGCTGTCTGTGTACAAAGTTCTGCAAGGCGGAGAAAATGGGCTTGTCCCCGGCCTCACAGACCAGATGTGGTAGTAACAGGTGGAAGCTGAGACACAAATTGAGGTTTGACATAAGGAAAACCTTCTTTGGCATTAGAGCTGTCTGGGAGTGCAGCGGAATCTTCTCTAGAAGTTTTCTGCAGAGGCCTGGATGACCACTGGAGGATCCTTTCTCAGGACGTGACCAGGCAGTTCCAAGATTCCTTCGAAGCCTGAGGTTGTGTGAGCTGTCTGATCAGGTAGGGGGCGGTGATGGGAGCAGCAGGTTGGAGATGCTCCTGAATGTGGCCGCTCCAGGTCATTGGCGATCTGTGGAAGGGCTTAGAGTTTAGTTGCAGAAGTAGATCTACAGAACCGTGATACGTCTTGAAGACGCTTGCGGGGCAGCACGTGAGCAAATGCCAAGCACTAGAGAGCTAGGAGTGGGTCAGAGAAATGCCTGAGGGTCTCGTGAGCGAGGTGTGAATGCTTATTGTGGTGAGATGCCCCTCCATGGATGCTGATGTCTCCGAAGAATCGAGATTCCACCCTAGCCAGAGGGTGTCCGAAAGGTGATGGAGCACGTGATCGGGGGACCCCGAAAGTGAGGGAGCTAAGAAACCCTACGGTATGCACAGCAGGCCAGAGCATGGGTCATAGGACTGGAAGCGCAAGTACCTCTTGCTCCTCTCAGTAGCTGTTCAGTATTGCACAAGAACAGTGCCGTTGCCCCTTTGAATTCCTTTGTGTATTTGTAAACGTTTCTTTGAAGCTGCAGCGTCGGGGGTCCTTACTGCCCTTCACAGACCCTCCAATAGTTGTCATTTCTCTTTGTCATCTTTGCCATTCTGATAAATGTGAAATAGAACTCCATGTGCTTTAACTGCAACTTCTCTTACTTGTAATTTGGAGCATTTTTTTATTTGGTTGTTGGCAGCTTGGGTTTCTTGCTCTGAGAACTGTCTGTCCGTATCCTCTGATCATTTCTCTGTTGGGGAAAATACTCTTCTATACTTGCATTAATTCCTTAAAAATCTTGGGACATCAGACCCATGAAATTCTGAAAGACCTCAAGAAAAGCCTCCAGTGTGTTGGGGAGATCTTCTCCAGAGGGTTTATGGGAGGGTGCCTGAAGGGCCCACCTCAGTGAGGTCATAGGATCATGGGAATCTTACAAAATGGCAGTAACAGGGAGCCCCCCAGCAAGGCCATTATGAGGGGTGCAGAGTCATACATTCCTAGCCTTGAGCCCTTTTGGTATTTTGGGGGAAAGCCATGCATATCTGACTGATTGCACGAGACTGAGACGTAAGAGGAGAAGACATGGGGAGGTTTCAGGGCTCTTCTCTTTGATGAAAGGGCAGGAACACCAGGGATGGGACATTGGCCTCTTGTAGCCATAAGCATTCAGTCAGCTCACACTGGCAAAGCTTGGGCCACTGCTGCATTTCTTCTCACTTGGATTTATCTTTTCTGTAGCTCAGTGTGAGTAGTAATCTGAATGGGGAAGGATAGTTTATCGTGCAGATGTTTAATGCAAGGGACAGTTAGTAACCGTGAGAGCCAGCCAAAGAAGAATGGACTCCTACCCCATGCCGAGTGACAGAGAGAGCTCCCCGTCCCTAGATGGATCACTCGAAGTCCTCCAGAAGCTAGAAAAGCACTTGTCCAGGGATGCCATGGGGGGAGGGGTCGGTGTGCTTCCTCAGGTCTCCCCTGGACCAGATTCTGATGGGAATCTGGGGCCATCCAGGGTGATCCCAGCTTCTGTGACAGCAGCTAAGACTGAGCTCTCGTCTTGGGCTGGCTTCGGGTTCCGTTTCTTTATCATTAGCCACAATCTGTGGGGAAAATGTTTCCTCTTTCCTAAGTCTGTTGGAATCACTTGGAGATGATGGTGCCATCCCCCTTTGGTCCCAGTGAGCTCTTGTGAGCAGTCTTACTCGGTGTTTCTGAGGCCTGTCTGGAAGAGCCTCATTCCTCAGGTGGTGGGCAAAGAACGAATGAAAGCACAATTGTGAGAGACAAGGAGCATATTGACAAAAGGAAACGCGGACTGTCAAGCGTGCCTCGTCCTCGGCTTCTGGTGCTGCCAAGAATTCTTTCTTGGAACACTTTCTCTCCTGTTCACCAGCCCTGCCTCCTTCCTTGTTAGGTTTCTGCCTCCGTGCTCAAGCAGTTTCCTAACAGCGGCCTGAACCCGGGTCTTTTCAACCTGGGGCCTCAGCTTTCTCCCCAGCAGATCGCCATGCTGAGCCAGCTTCCACAGATTCCCCAGTTCCAGTTGGTAAGGAGCACATCCACTTCCTCTGGCTGCATGGCTTTAGAGGCATGTGTGTGCATGACTCCCTCTGGTTTGGGGTTGGTGTGTTTGCAGTACAGGGACTTGTGTGATATGACCCTGTATTTCAAATAGGCTTCGTGTGTGTGAGATGTCTACGTTGGGGGGGGGGGGGGGGGGGTGTCTGTCTCTGTCTGTCTGTCTGTAATGTGACCCTGTATTTCCAATAGGCTTCGTTTCCTTTCTTCTATTGCGCCTGTCTGTCTGTGTGTGTGAGAAAGAAAGAAATTCTGTGTTGGGGGGGAGGGCACTGTATTTTAAATAGGCCTGATTTCCTTTCCTCCATTGAGGGAGAGTGGGGTATGCTGTTCCCAAGAGTTAATTCAATATAACGAGGATAATAGTTCTTTGGAGTGAGACGGGGCGTTTTGTCTCATAGTTCTATGGCGATATATTTCTGTGTGGGTTATTGGGGGTCAGTTGAGCAGGATTCAGATCCTCTCACATGTTAAATGAGGAGGGAGAACAGAATTAATTTACTCCATCCACACTGGCATGTACATTGCGTGGAACGCATAGGTGTTATTGAGCCCTCTGCTGGTGTTTTTTGTCAGGGGTGACGATGCCCATAAGATTGCCATTTCATGTATTTGCCCCCCCCCCCCCCCACACACACACACCCCCCTTCTTTCTCCCCCTTCCCCCTTTGCAGGCCTGTCAGCTTCTCCTACAACAGCAGCAGCAGCAGCAGCAGCTGCTCCAAAACCAGAGAAAGATCTCCCAGGCCGTGCGGCAGCAGCATGAACAGCAGGTGAGCTGGGCCCCCGGGGACGACTGTCTGGCCAGAGGGGGCCGGCTCCTTGTAGAGGGGTAGACCCAGGGCTCAGCCTCTCCCGCTTCCTCTGCAGATTGCTCGGATGATGAGCGCATTGCAGCAGCAGCAGCAGCAGCAGCAGCAGCGACCGCCGAGCATGAAGCATTCGCCATCTCATCCCGTCGGACCCAAGCCACATCTTGACAACCTGGTCCCCAGTGCCCTGAATGTGGGGCTCCCTGACCTTCAGAGCAAAGGGCAAATTCCTGGCTACAGTTCTGGTGAGGAGCGTGACCGCAGCCGTGGGAGAAGAGCAGTGCCTCTGAAAAGGCCGGCCTGGGCCGGGTGTTCTCATGGGCTGGCGCAGGAGGGGGGAAGGAGGACGCAGCCCAGGGGTTTGAGGCGGGCCCCCACAGGCTCATGCAGAGCGCTACAAGGGGCTTGGGGGGCCGTGTAGACCAGCCACCCCTCTCGTACAGTGTTGTAGAGGGCCAGAGTAAGAGAAGGGCTTTATGGGAGAAGTGAGCCTTGAGCACAGAGGAGGGGTGACATTCTTCCAGGGGGAATCCAGAAAGACTGTGAGATCAGCAGTGACTGACGGGCAGGTGCGGGGCAAGACCCAGAGGGAAGCCAGCCCGCATGCTGGAACCTCTAGGATGGCCAATCCCCCCACTGCCTCAGCCTCGTCTTGCTCTCCCCTCCTAGCAGCTACTCTCCATTCCTGCTGCATGCACGCATGCTCGCACACGCACACGCACGCGCACGCACATAGAAAGTATCGAGGTAGAAATTTCTCATATTTTCTTCCAACTTTGTTTGAGGTTTCATTTTCAAGAGTGACTAAGCCAAGGTTGTCTGTAGTTGCCCCTCGGAGAAGGAAGGCAGGGAGTTTTCTCCATGGAAAACTCTCTGCTTGCGTGGTGCTAGGGTTTTATCCATTACTTAAATGCTCACCACCAGTCTCTGCTGTTTGCTGAAAACCCAAGCCCTAATTGGTAGCCTCAGCACCTCCAGCCTTCAGAGCAGCCTTTTCACGTGTGCTGAAATGAGACTGATGTGGACAAAGTTGCTCTCCGTAGCTCTTCGTTGTGCTTTTCCTGCCACCTAATGACAGCGAGAAGCTAAATTTTGCACCAGTTTCCCTCCAGCAATAAGAGTCCTTGAGTGAGGAATATGTGACAAATTAAGAACTTGGAGACTTTGCTAGCCATAGCTCATTTGTTTATCTTTCCAGCAGTATCTTTTAGTAAATTGGAAATACACTAAGAATGCTGTAAAAGTCACTTTGGGGTTTGGGGTTTTGTTTTTAGGTTTTGGCTCAAGTGGCATGGATTATGGCATGGTTGGAGGGAAGGAAGCTGGGACAGAATCTCGCTTTAAACAGTGGACTTCTATGATAGAAGGCCTGCCCTCGGTAGCTACACAAGATGCCAGTATGCACAAAAATGGTAAGAGACAGCCCAGGGACTCAGCCAGAGACTCTTCCCCCCCTGCTAGTCTAGATGAAGAAGTGGGAAGGCCAGTGATGAGCAGTTTTTGAATTTTCCAAGGTCTTATGATTACCAGTGTTAGATGACTGAGTCAGGTCATTAATGGAATGTTATACATGGAGGGTCCTCTTTGGGGGTGTGCGGGGTATGCATGGAAATCCCTTCCACACTTAGGGAAGCATCAGTCTACCTGCGTATTCAATCAGTAAGACTTCAGGATTGGCCCACAAGTTCTGATCCTCCTGCTAGTTGGGGGAGACCCTGGCTTTAAAGGTGGGGCTTCTTTTGAGATGTAGAAGGATTATAAATGGCATTTATGAGGAGCGTGGTTGGCATCTTAATGGTATTTATCATTTTCTTTTTTTTTTTTTAACTAGTTCCGTATCATTCCTAAAGATAAAAACTCCTGTGAATATAAATATATATACTTTATAAATTAAGAAGCACTATATAAATATGAGCTATGATTATGTTTATGGTCCTTTCTTAAAAACTCAAAGATCTTGTATATTCATGGGCTATATGAACCAGAACATCAACATGATACAAGCATTGCATCCCTGCCTCTCCATAATTTCCTGTACAAGCCTCTTAAAATTTTCTGTAAAGCAGATGGAAGGTCTCAGAATAATCACTCAACTCTTGTTTCAGTTTTGTTTCACTGGACAGTAAATCACATGGACTCATCTCTTCATGAAAGCAAAGCATAAATAGGAGTCTGACCATACTTCTATTGATGTTCCTTGGCAGGCCTTGTTGGCCCTGAGAGTTCATTCAGTCCAAACCTTTGCACCTCTTTTGTAAAACTCTTACTGATGTGGACATTACTGTAATGTAATGTAGTCACATGAGGTTCTCTGTATACCTTCCCCAAGTGGCATCATTTGTTTCTAGGCTGTCTCTGCATCGTTTCTTCTTATTTTCTTAGACATTGTGGCACCGAGTGCCAGATTTGCATGAGAGGTTAATAAATGTGTCTGAATATTACATTATTTTGCATGACAGCCTCTTGCCAAATTAGTTAAGGCATTTGGCATCTCCTCATGAGGCTGCTCTTACCTTCTTGTTGACTATCATGGCACATAAAAGAGCGATTGACAGGTTGTGTTTCACTCCTCTTTCTTGCTCGTACAACGGCTTTGACCGTAGTTTCTGTCAGTGCCGGGCGAAGGATGTGTGGCCAACAAAGTGACTGTTGAGACAGGGCTTTTTAAAATGACACTCATGATTATTGATAGTAAGAAAGCGCAAGACGAGACTTGTTCTCCGAAGGTACACACTACTGTCATGGAGGTGGAGGTCTGGTAAAGAGGTCAGATGAACGGGGAATTCCCTATGGATGGGAAGAGGCCCTCTAGCATTGTGTTGGTTGCATCAGCTCCTCAAGTCCTGGAATATTATAGCACTTCCTAAGTGAAATCCATAATCATTCAAAAACTTTTGGCCTGATGTGTTAATGAAATAGAAATGACAAATGTCTGTTGTCCAAATTGATAAGCAGCCAGACAGACATCCTCTAGAACCCATGCTTCAGTGTATTTGTTTTGGATAGTGGATGTGGGCAGTGAGTGGGCCTAGAATTGAACCCACAGGTGGACAGGAGCAAGCCGGATTGTGACTGGTGAGTTATACTGTGCTGAGACAAAGCCCCGTCCTTTTTTGGTTTTGCTTTTTATTCCTCCCAGCCCGTTGAGAAAGCAAGAAAAACAAAACCCCTGTTACCGTTGCGTACAGTCAAGTCAAACCGATCTGTGCATTGGCCACGTCCAGAGAAAAGTGTGTCTCATTCTGCAGCCCGAGTCCTTCGCCTTCTGGAGGGGTGGGCAGTGTGTTTGATCATCTGTCTTCTGCAGTTGTGTTCAGTCACTGTGTTGATGGGACAGCATTGCTGTCATGGTATAAATGGTTCTGCTGCTTCTGCATCAGTTCAGAAAAGTCTTCCCAGATTTCTCTGAAACACTTTCCTTCATATTTCTTCCAGCACCTTTATATACCATAACTTGTTCACCCTTTCCCCAGTTGATGAAGGCCACCTTTTTTGTGAGGCAGTCAGGGTTAAGTGACTTGCCCAGGGTCACACAGCTAGTATATTTCAAGCGTCGGAGGCTGGTTTTGGACCCGGATCCTCCAACGCCAGAGCTCTACCTACTGCACCACCTAGCTGCCCCAAGGCCCGTCTTTTTAATACCAGTCAATGTTATTTCAGTAGAGTTTTGTGTAGGCTTGTGAGTGCCCTAAGGGGGAAAGTCACCCCAAGGACAGTGGAAAGACGCATGATGTGGTGGACAGGTTGAAACACAAAAAAGGATTCAGATAGAGGGGGAAAGTGCCCGGAATGTCATCAGAGGAACAGAAAAGACTGGGACGGAAAAGATGGCCACGTGGCTGTCTGCTGGTACCTGTCTTCTGCTGTCTTACCGGTGTCATCATGTTGCCCACCAGCCACGGATTTTACTGTTTTTAGTTCTCTTTGGGGGAAATATTTTGTATACTGCCTGCTTCTCTGGGGCAGATGGAAGATACTCACTTATTTTAGGCCATCATACCAGTAATCATTTGTCAGTAAATTTAAAGAATATCATTGTTGACCAAAGGGCTAAAAACAGTTAATAGGTAAGACCTTTACCGTTTTTTTAATCTCACTTATCCTCAACTTAAAAGTGTAATCATACCCTTATACCCACTGTATAGACACTTTTCCATGAAGTGAGTCTTTGAGGTGTTGGGTGGGGTCAAATAGAGGCAATAAAGAGGAATTGGGATTTGGGAGTTTTGGGAGTTTTTTTAGTGTTTTCCTCTCTAGAGATCCATCAAAGATTTGAAAGATTACGAGACTATACCATTCTCTTTACTTAAAAGGAACTGTCATTTCATCAATCTGTGATCCTTCCAGCCCTGTAGATTGTAACCCATCCATGTCTTCTCATCCTATGGGACTCTTGGCCATGTCCTCCCTTGAATTTTTCTTAGGTGATCCACCGAGCATGGGAGGGATCTTTTGTGTGGTTGTCTTAACTGGGCTTCCCATTAGTTATCCTTTGTTCTGGCCATATGACCAGCCACCTCTCCTTTCTAGTCATTTATCTCTCTGTTGACATCTTTTAACACTACTTCTCTTGCCTTGATTCTCAGTTGGTGAAAGGTTGGAGCCTAGACATAACCACTGTGTCCCCCATTCATTGCCATTTGAGCGGTCCCTAATATTTATTTGTTAGAGATTGGGATGTGCTCTGATGAGAACCATAGAGTACCACCTGAAGCATTTCATTGTGAGAACCGTAGGCCTGGGTTTAGAAGGGTAGTGAGCCCAGCAAGTACCCCGGTCAAGTGCTCAAGAAGACGAAAGAGAAACCACAGTCCAGGGCTGCAGGAGGATGGCCAGAAGCCTCTGAGCACTCAGGAGGGTGACAGCAGATGAGGGAGCCAAGGAGGAGGGTCTCAAGCCAATGGGGGCCCTCAGTGGGATGAACCAGGGAGGAGACAGTGCAGGAGGTCACAAAAGAGACAAGAGGCAGCTCCCAGCTCGAGATTACACATGCGTCAGGAGAGACCAGAACCCCTTCTGAGCTGAGGCCGAAACTCATACAGAGAAGGAGGCAGGAGCCAGCTATTGAGACAGAGGGCAGTACCTAGTTCCTGCCATCCAACCCAGAACCACAGCGGCAATAACATCTAGACTGCAGAGGAGAAAGGACCAAATAGGGCCAACCCATCCATCCAAAAGTTCAGGACAGTGGGACTCTGGTACATAGTCCCATCCAGAAACTGAAGCTGGGGGAGATAGGAAGAAACGGAAGAAAACTCTGAGCACGATGAAGAAATGTTATGGATCGAGAGAAGCCCAACTTGTAAACAGAGAATAGCTCCACAGTAACTCCAAGTAGAGCCTCAGAAAAGAATGGCTTAGCCCCGAGGACTCCAAGAGTAACTAGGAAGAAATAAAGCAATAGCTCTTAAGGAAAAAATACAAGAGGAGAATAAATCACTTAGAACAAAAAGTAGAAATCCACACCCCAGAAGTGGACTCCCTGAATAAGCAGAACAGGACAAATAGAACCCAATGATTGTATAAAGCAAAAAGAAATACTAGAACCGAGTCAAAAGACTGAAAAAATTAGAAAAACGTATGAGGTATCTGACATCAAAAACAATTGACTAGGAAAAGTGCTTCTTTGGAAAAAAGTGACGTAAGTGGCAAAAAGAGGGAAAAGGGTAAGAGTTTATGTAGAGAGGAAAACACAATTAACAATAACTCTGCATGTAAATAGGATGAGCTTACCCATAAAATGGAGGAATGAATTAGAAAGCAGAGTCCAAAAAAGTCTCCACACATTTAAAAAACTTAGAATTCACACAGAGTTAAAATGAGGCCACACAGGAGAATTTATTATACCTGAAGCAAGTTCAGAAAAGCAGGAGTGACTATCAGCAAGGTAGTAGTAAAAATAAACATAGCTAAAAGAGATAAGCAGAGACAATAAGTTATGTTTAAAAGCACCATCAGTAATGAAATAATATTCATATTTAATACGTATGCACTAATTGGCATAGCATCTGAGTACGTGAGTTACAGGGAGAAATCAAAAGGAACTCTATGATACTTGGGGCCCTCAATGTTCCCTTTCAAACCTAGACAAATCTAACAAAAAGATAAACAAGAAAGAAGTGGAGGACTTGAATAGAACTTTAGAAAAACTAGTGAAGAGAGCTCTCTGGCAGTTACTGAATGGAAATCAAAAGATGCATGCGTAGTGCTCAGATCCATTCTAAACAAATGCATGAAAACAGCAAACACATCCTTTCCTGACCACAACATAATAAAAAATTATCATCACTGAAAGAGAATTTAAAGAAAGGATCCAAATTTAAATGGAGACAAATGTATTCCTAAAGAATATGTGAGTTAAAGAACAAAGCATGGAAATGAGAGACAGTTCCATTAAAAGCAATGACTGCAGTGAGATGGCATAGCAGACCTCAGGCCCGCCCCCATTCAGGTCCTCGTCTTCTCGAGCCTGGACAGTTGTAACAGCCTTCTGATGAGTCTCTGTGCCTCTAGTCTCTTCCTACTCTAGGCCATCCTCCTTCCAGTTGTCTGACTGCATGAGCCGTTAAATTCCGTGGTTCTCTGTTACCTCCAGGAGCCAATATAAAATGCCAATTTTGACGTTAAAGCCTTTCCTAATCAGACTCCTTCCTACCTTTCCAGTCTTCTTAAACTCATCCCCTTCCACAGTCCAGTGGCACTGGCCTCCGTGCTGTTCCTTGACCAAGACACTCCATCTCCAACTGGCCACTCCACCCACAGCCAAGGCAAGCCCTAGGGGAAATTTTCCCTCTTAAATATTTTTCATTAACAAAAGAGACAAAAAAAGTCAGTGAATTGGGACTACAACTTAAAAAAAAAAATAGAAAAGCGACATTAAAAAAAAAATGAAAATCAAACATGGAGACAAATTCTGGAAAACAGATTTCCAAAATTGAAAAATAAGACATAAGCTTTTGTCTCCTGGAGAAGCCTGGGAGTCATGACCAAGCTCCCCACCAGCTCTCCCAGGCAGCTCCCATTCTGCTTCTGTTCCAATCTGCATGTTGTCCAGGCCCAGGTAAGCATTGATGCACCGCCTCTGTGGGTTCTGGCTGCCTACCTGGGTGTCCTGGCATGGACTGGGGACGTTCTTCATCTGGTTTCTTTTTCTCATGTGGGGTCTTGGGCCTGAACCTTTTGGATGATGGTGGATCTCTTTTAGGAGGCTCTGCAGGACACTGTACAGTCTGCATAGTACCCTCCACAAACAGGGGCATCTGGAGGACGTTGCTGTCATTCTGCCAGTTAACAAGCATTTATTCAGCGCCTTCAGTGTGCCAGGAGTTCTGATGGGTGCAGGGGATACAATGAAAACAAAGTAGTCCCTGCCCTCAAGGAGCTTACAGTCCAGCCTGAGGAGACAGTACACCGATACAGGAACATAGCAAATTGTTAACACTGCAGTTTTGGAGGGAGGGGGGAGACAGGAGGTTCTGGCAGGTATAGGGGCCAGGAAAGGCCTCCTGGAGAGCTGAAGCGCTTCACGGGTGGGTGTTGGGGTAGAGTGTCCTGAGTGTGTGGAACAGAGTTAAGAAAGCTGCTTTGGTGAGATTCCCTCTTCCTGGGACTTGGCAGCCAAGTAGCGTCCTCCCTTCCTGCCAGGAGGGTCATCAGCGTCTTTCACGGAACCTTCTTTTACTGACATATGCATGGGAGACACTTGGTTGGGGGGCCTTTTAAGCCAGTGTTCTGCTAGGCCAAGCAAGCCAGGCACTTTTATCATTCACGACCACCAAAGAGCAGTCCACGCCGAATTGTCCATGTCTTCCAGTCTCCTGTGAGGAGGGGTCTTGTGTGGGTACCATCTAGGGGAGCCCATTCACTTCTCCCGCCATTGGGAGCCTCCAAGGTGTGAAGGGGATTTGCTTGAAAATGTAGTAGAAAAGAGAAAGGACTCATGCTTTGTGTCATTCTCTTGGTCACCAGGATCTTTTCTAAACTTTTGACATGCTCACATCTTTCAGCTGCCTTGAGATGCTACCCTGTTGTTGTGTCTTGCCTCTGGAGGGACCTCCTCTGGAGACCCCAGGCCCTTTTCCCATCTCTTTTCTTTTTTTTTTTCTTTTTTTTTGGTGAGGCAATTGGGGTTAAGTGACTTGCCCAGGGTCACACAGCCAGTAAGTGTCAAGTGATTGGTCTGAGGCCAGATTTGAACTCAGGTCCTCCTGACTTCAGGGCTGGTGCTCTATCCACTGCACCACCTAGCTGTCCCGCCATCTCTTTTCTTAGTGCTGTTTCTGCTTCCTCATGTGGCACGTTGAGACTGCCACGTTAGGTGGGCACATTGGGATGGGATGTTCACATTGGAGCACTTAGGATCTGTTGGCCCCTCCTGTACCAGACTCCTGGTTTCTAAAGCTGTCTACACATAGTCTCATGTAGGGGTCGAGCAGACACGAGGATTCTGTCTCACTGCCTGTGCATGGAGAGGCACCACGTCTGGTTCTCCCAGTGACCGCCTCTATAGAGCTTCCATTGCACTGCTCACCCTTTCAAATTATCTTTGCCTAATCATAAACTGGTTGGTGAAGCAGATGACTTCAGAGGAGCTCAGGCAGCTCACCCTTAATTTCATTGCATGAGTCATACAGATTGCAGCCTGTCTCCCCCCTTGGCCATGGGTTATGGCCTATCTAGCCGTACGCCTCCAGCAAGAGATGGTCATAGAGGGCTCAGGGAGGGGAGTCACTTCCAGGCTGTGAGGTGGGAGGACAGGGCTATAGAGTCCACCCTTAAAGACGACCACCTGTTTGTAGTTTGACTGGTTTTGTCTCTTGGATCACTGGTTCAGAACCAGTTGCCAGAGAGCTGCGTAATGTCTCCTTTCACTTTCTCTCAGAGAGCATGCGTAGATTAGAGATAATTTAGAAGATGTTTATTGATGTTGTTTTTGCCTCTAGCCTTTTCTGTAAGTGAATTCTCTGTCTTCTATTCCCAGGCGCCATAGTACCCCCCGGAAAAACACGAGGAGGATCGCCATACAACCAGTTTGACATCCTCCCAGGCGACACGTTGGGGGGCCATACGGGGCCTGCTGGTGATAGTTGGTTACCCGCCAAATCGCCACCAACAAATAAAATTGGAAGTAAATCCAGCCATGCCAGTTGGCCTCCAGGTACGCCCTAGGACACGCCTTGGACAAAGCAGCATTTGCTTCTAAACTGGTTTAGGCCCTTTGAGGGAAAGTCTGAGCTCCTTCACTTCGGAATGAGGTCACCTCGGGTTAATTTGTTAATTCAGCAGGTACCCAGGCTACCTGAAGTGCTGCTTGCGCTTGGAGGCCAAGAATTAGATGGCACAGGTTTGCATCTTGGCCTTCCAAGACAGAACCTTAGTCTGGAGGGAGTCCTTTGATGCTATGAGCTGGGCCATTCCTGTGAAGCAACCTGGAGGTTATTTGGGGGCTGGACGCTAAAGGGCAGCTAAAAGTTTTTTGTGGGGTGAGGACATTCTGAGAATTGGGGTGCAATGAGAACAAAGAGAGGTAGACAAGCTCCTAATGTCAACAGGTTTGGTTGGATTTGACCAGAGTGTAGAGAATGTGGAAGGGGCTAGTATGAAGTAAGGCAGAAAGGATGGAATAGATTGTAGAGGGCCTAAAGTAACAGGCCAAGAATTTTAAACTTGAATGTGAAGAAGGGTTTTTGGGGGGGGGGCATTGGGATTGAGTGACTTATCTAGGGTCACACAGTTACTAAGTTTCTGAGGTCAGATTTGAACTTGGGTCCTCCTGCCTCCAGGGCCAGTGCTCTATCTGCTGCACCACCCACCAGCTCTGGATATAAAGAGTTGTGAACAAAAGAACTGTGCATGAGGAAGCTGAGTCTGGCACATTGGTGATGAGACTGTTGGACCTAGGCAGGGGACAGCCAGGAGAAGTCTCCTCAAGGGTGATGGGCAGGAGTTTTAGGTCAGAAGTTGGAGCAGATAATTTGTAAGGTCTGTTCCAAAGTCACTAGTCACTGATTTTAAGGCCCAGGCACCCGTCTCATCACAAGTCGGAAGTCCAGAGGCAGCTTGGCCATATGCAGTTGTGGGCTTCAGGATCATAGTGTAAGGCTGGACCATCGATGGGGAAGCTCAGGCCCAGAGTCGTCACGTGGCTGGGGACTGTCTGCGGTGGGATTCCGCAGGTCTTCCTGACTCCATCAGCAGCCTCTTGCTTCTCCAGGCATGAGGGAAGGCCCTGGAGGAACTGGGGTCAGGGTGGGTGGAAGGGCCTGCACCCTCTCCACCATGGCATGCATGAGCCCCTGCTGATGTGGGCGCTGGGTGGACTTGTTTGTGGGGCCTTCTGTAGCACGTGTCTGGAGGAGTGAGCATCAGGTGCAATGTCCCATTGTATGTGGCGGTCAGGGAAGTTGAATTTGGTTCCCCTGTGGACTTTGTGTCCACAGCTCAGACCTGAGGTGGCCAGCTTGCAGGGCGGGACTGAAAAGCTCGGACAGGCACAGGGATCCCTTTCTGTCTGAGTTTGACACCTGGCTCAGTCTCAGGGTGCCCTGACGCTGACGCCCATGCTGTGGGCTGTCCTTGCAAAGAACATCAGGCTGCTTGGTGTTTCTTTCGAAAGGTCAGTGTAACCCAGACTCCAAGCCCATGGGCCTTAATGGTAAAGGTGAAGCATCGTAAGCCTTTTCAGCCTGACAGGTCCGCCACCTTAGACCGTTTGGGGACCACAGGCTCCAAAGCCCCAGGCTTGGAGGAGACTTGATCTGAAGATAGAGTAAGCTAACAGGGAGACTCTTGAGGGCTGCCTGCCTGCTCCTTCTTATCTTTGCATCCTCACTACCTGATTCATCGAGGCTCTCAGCAATGTGGACTGGATTGAGCAGGTGCACCCTCCTTTCCTTATGAGAGCTGGAGGTAGGGCATGCAAGGATTGCCTCCATTGTACCGGTGGTAAAAGTGAGTCCCTCCCAGGAGAGGGCCCAGCCAGGACTTGTACGTCTCACCCCAAGTCTCTCCACCATTCCACACTATGGTACTGGGTTATCGGGTCCCAGGAGTCATTGATTCAATCTATGTTATCTAAACACATTGGCATTACAAAATTTAGCACTCCCCACTCTGGCCTACTACAGAGACTAGCTAAAATCGCTACCCCCACATCACAACACCCCACAGAAGGGTCTTATTAGCAGACAGCCTGAGGTTATTGTGGCCCCCTCTTCCCTCCGGTTTCTGGACCCACCACTCGCCCTCTGCCTTTCTGCTGCCTGTTCTCTCCCTAGATTTGGGGACTCTTAAGTGACCTCTCCTGTCATTGCCTAACACTTGGGCCGCAGCCCTTCCCTAGAAGGAGCCTGTAACCCTGATTCTAGCGCCTAGAGAGACGCCAGGACACGAAGATAAAAAACACTTCAGACTTGGATCACGGAAATCTGTGGGGAAGTTGGTTCAGACTCTCAGAACTTGCTAATTTACAATGGGCTTCTCAGGAATCCTTCTCGACGTTCATTTGTCAGTTTCTTGTGACCACCTGATGGTATGTTTACCCTTCTTGTCCTAGAATTCCAACCAGGAGTGCCGTGGAAAGGTATACAAAACATCGACCCTGAGTCTGACCCCTATGTGACCCCAGGAAGTGTGCTCGGGGGTCCAGCCACATCTCCCATTGTAGATACTGACCACCAACTTCTGCGGGACACCACCACAGGTGACTGGGGGAGCCGGGCTGGGTGTGGCTGCTCTCTGGCTTCCAGAAGGCAAGAACGTGTGATGTTTGCACACTCCTTGTGTAAATCATCTGCCTCCTTCTGCCGAGAGGCGGCCGTGGCTTCTGATTGTTCACTCCTGACCCTAACTTGGTTTCTCATGTTCTTCTCTTCCATCCCGTGTGTGACCAAAGGGTCTAATTCTTCCCTCAACACCTCGCTGCCTTCACCTGGTGCCTGGCCCTACAGTGCCTCTGACAACTCCTTTACCAACGTTCATAGCACTTCAGGTAAGGCTCGGCAGGAACGGGGGCAGGGGGTGAGCAGCAGTGCGGCTTCTCTTCTTTCCTTTGGAACTTGCTGGTTGCACCATCTCGGTCCAACTTTATCTGCTTGTTTTGAACTATACACACTCACGGGCACGCACGGGCAGATCTACTTGGAAACCACGCTGAGGACAAGAACAATTTTGAGTAAGACAGAATGAGGTCTGTGTGTCTGTTTTATTTGGTAGGGAGCAGGGGGACTGTGGAGGTCCAGGCCGGGGAGAAGGCGTACATGATGCTTATCATCACCCCCTCTTAGGCTGTCCAGCCTGTGTTCATCACTTCTCCCAGCCTTCTGCCTTTCAGGCCCCTAACAGAAAGCAAGGAAAGGAACAAATGGGATTTTTAACTTAGAAACTGGGACATGCACCCTCAGAATATCAGAAGGGGATTTAGGAGTCCAGGCTTCTTATTCATGCGCCAGCCAGTTGGTGTTTACATTCCTTTCATTGAAAGAACGTCAGCTTGTACTGTCAGCCACGTAGCTGTTGGAGGGGCAGTAAGGGAGTGATTCTGTCCATCAGCCGCCCTCAGTCAGTGCCAGCTCTGGTTTCTGAAGGTCTCAAGGAAAGAACGATTGGATTTGTGAACCTTTCCTCTTAGGCCAGTGGCTCAGGCAGATCCCGGGGAAGAAGTCAGTGCTCATTCTTCTGCAGGCTTTGCAGTGGTGAGGCTTGGCTTCCTGAGGTCCTCGCTGGCTGGAGTTCTCCTTGGCTGGGATCCTTTCTAAAGGAAAGGGGGCGTGAGCTTTACCGCACGGTTGGGACGACAGCTGCCCTGTGACCCACCCAGCGCCGGCTTCCTCGCCCCATTGGTGGTGACTCCCCTCGGACAGCTGGTCCATTCTTGGCAGAGCCCTTCCGTCTCCTTCCATTCGGAGGAACATGGTGCCCTGGCTTCTCGGCCACCCTACCGCCTAGCGCTCCTCACTGGGCCAGGATGAGAGGAGGCCCCAGGCTTTGTACAGGACTGGCACGTGCTATCGGTTGGCTTTTCTCCTCCAGCCCTTGTGCCTCTCAGCACATGTGTGCCAGAGGAAGTTAGACACGTGTGCTGGCTGAAGCCTGCCACCACTGTGTCAACCAATCTGCACTATGTGGGGATCCTTCTCCTCTTCCCTGGTCAACCGTCTCATTCTCCACAGTGACTGCCCCAACCTTCTCTCCTCCCCTTTCTCTCAGCAGAAGCCCTAGCTTCCTATTTCACTGCAAAAAATGGCTGTCCAGCACAAGGGCCTTCTCTTCCTTTCTTTCATCCAAAGAGGAAGAAATAACTCTTATCCTTAGTACTGACAACGTTTCTGCAAGTTCACTTGGTCCCAAGCCCTCCTGCCCTTTCAGACGTTCCCTCTCCTTAATTGTCTTTCCTTTTAACCTGCACAAATATGCCTTCTCTCCCCCTCCTCCCACTGAGCACTGAACAAAAAGAGCTCCCCAGGGGCAGCTAGGTGGTGCAGTGGATAGAGCACCGGTCCTGAAGTCAGGAGGACCTGAGTTCAAATCTGCTGACCTCAGACCAAACACTTGACACTTACTAGCTGTGTGACCCTGGGCAAGTCGCTTAACCCCAATTGCCTAAAAAAATAAATAATAAAAAATTTTTAAAACAGAAAGATTAAAATCAACATTAAGCTACAGTGAAAACTGAAAATGAGAATGGCATAGAAGCAATGTGACCCCAGCCTAATCTTTTCAGATGACCTGTTGATCCAGAAAAATAGGAAATGAATAAAAGAACAGATGTCAATGTTATTAGGCTCTCCTAAGGAAATTTAGTGAATGTAAATCAATCATTGCAAGATCAAACGACTCTAGAAACTGCATCAGCCAACAGACATTTGGTCTCCTTAAAAATACAGTATCTGACATTTATGTTGCATTTTAAATTTAAGTTTTTCTATACTTTATCTGATTTGAGCCTGTGAGTAACCATGTGGAGAAAGAAGGCAATGCAATTATTACTCATCCCCATTTTATAGATAAGGAAACAGCCTCAGAGAAGTCTGGTGACCACAAAGCTCGGCAGTATCAGAAGCATGAGTGGAACCCAGGTTTTCCTGATCCCAAGTCCACCGCTCTTATCTACTGCACTGGTTTAGAGTGTGCATTTTTGTAAAATACTAGAGAAAGATGGTGGCATTTCACTCTCTCACTCCACTCTTTTGCTCTTCCAAACCTCATCCCTCCTTAAGCCTCCCAGCTGAGAACTTTGCCTTATATTTTACTGGAAAAATTGGAACCATTCACTGTGGTCTCCCTCTTCTCCCCTCCTTCTCATCTCCTGTCACTCAGGTGCCTTCTGCTCCTCTCTTCCTTCACCCCTGTTTCTCACAATGAGGCAGTCTTACTGCTTCGCAAGGCCAACCCCTCTGCTTGTTTAACCAATCTCATTCCATGCCTTCTCCAGCAGATTGCCCTCGCCCTGTTGTCTCAGCTCTTTGACTTATTTCAACCCCTCCTTGTCTACTGGCCCCTTCTCTACTGCCTACAAATATGCCCATGGCTCCTTCATCTTGAAAAACCTCTCACTTGATCCTTTCATCCCAGATAATTATGGTTCCTTATCTCTTCTCTTTGTAGCTCAGTACTTGGAAAAGACCATCTACAATAGTCTTCCACCCTCTCTCTTCTCACTGTCTTCTTAACTCTTACAGTTCAGCTTCTTACCTCATCATTCTGCCGAAACTACTCTTCTCCAAAGTTACTGATGAACTCTTAGTTGTGAAATCCGGTTTTCCCAGTCCTCATTCTCCTTGACCTGTCTACAGCCTTTACACTGTTGACCACCCTCTCCTCCTTGATAACTCTCCTCTCTAGGTTTTTGGGACTGCACTTTCTCCCGATTCTCCTCCCACCAATCTAACCATTCCTCCTCTGTCCCCTTTGTTGTGTCCTCCTTCAGATCATACCCGCTAACCAGAGGTGTCCCATAAGGATCTAGCCTGGGCCCTCTTTTCTTTTTCCTCTATGCTACATTATCCCTTCCACATCACAGGATTTAGGGGCATGGTGTCCTCCATGATCTGGAAAATCCGTGTAAAATTTTTTGGCCCTCCCTTTGTACCAGAGAAGAGGTCTAAATTTTTTTCTTTTTCTTTTATGGGGTATTTACAGTACCTTCTTTTAAAATCTGGATTGACATATAATACCACATATATATTTTATGAATTTCTGAGTTTCTAAACTTTTTCTGTCATCTGCTGGCCTCCCTGTGTCATCTTCAGCTTCTGCAAAACTCCCAAAAAATTCCCATTTAATTTCTTATGCTGACCCACAATGTATGAGACTGTAGTGGTGAAAGTCACAATGTTCAAGGGCTAACTGTACTTCACTTGGTGATCTTATCAGCTCCCATGGGTTTAATTACCATCTCTATGCTGATGATTCTCAGATCTACTTATTCTACCCCAGTCTCTCTGCTGACCTCCAATCTTGCATCTCCAACTACCTTTCAGACTTCTTGAACTGGATGTCCAGTCAACATCTTAAATTCAACATGTCCAAAACCAAATTCATTATCTTTCACCCCAAAACCCTCTCAGTCCCACAACCTAGGAATCATCCTGGACTCCTTACTCTCTCTTACTCCTCCAAATCCAGTATGGTGCCAAGATCTGTTGACTTCACCTTTCTATATCTCTCAAATCCCTTCTCTGGTTTCACCTGTTTTATTGCTGTAGCCTGCTGGTGGGTATGCTTGCCTCATCTTCCCTACTCAAGTCCGTCCTTCATTCAGCTATCAAAGTAATTTTCCTAAAGCACAGGTCTGACCATGTCACTCACACCCCCCAACTCAATAAACTGCATTGACTTCCTGTCACCTCCAAGATCAAATACAGAATGCTCTTTTGGGCATTCAAAGCCGTATGTAACCTGCCCGCTCCCATCTTTCTAGGCTCCTTGCACTTTACTCCCCAGCACATACTCTTCTATCCAGTGACACAGGCTTCTTGACTGTCCCACAAATAAGACCCGCCATCTCTTGACGCCAGGCATTCTCTGGCTATCCCCCATACTTGGAAACACTCTTCCTCCTCTTTCTGCCTACTGGCCTCCTTGCTTGTCAGGTGTCAGCTAAAATCTCAGCTTCTACAGGAAGCCTTTCCTAACTCCTCTGAATTTTCCTACTTATCCTGTCTGTGGCTTGTTGTACAGATTTGTTCAGCGTCACCCTCATTGGATTGTTGATTGATTGGTGGTAGACGTTTCTATGCAATATTAGCTCATAAAATGGCAAGAAGCAACGGAGGGGGGAGAAAGTATTTTCAGAAAGCTTGAGTAGAGTTCCCACGAAGAAAAGTCATGCCCAGTGAATTTAAAGATGAAACAGAAAAGACAGCAAACACCCCCCCCCAAAAAAGGAAAAGCTCTATAAAGATGTTTACAAATTTAAAAAAAAAAATCACCCTCCTTTCTTCAGCAATTATGATGAAACCACCACATTTGGACTCTCCAGAAGAAGCCTGGCTAGAGCAGCTGACCTGGAGACCAAGCATATACAGAGGAGGTCTTTGCTGGAGGGGAAGGAGTGTTAAGGACACTGAGGGATAAATTCTTAAGGTACCACGGGAAGGGAGGATGAGTAAGGCTTGGGGAGAAAACTACCACAGTGCTGCTTTTAAAAAATGGAACTGAGAGAATATTCACTGCTGCCCCATAGGCTAGCATTCCCGTCTTGAACAGGTGTGTTATGATGATAGTCTACATTGCATGAAGGTTTGATGTCTGCTTTTGTTAGAATGGTGTAATAGTCAAGGTTGACCCCAAAGGAGAGGTGAGAAAATGGATCAGCTTCCCTTCTTTTCAGAGGCAGGAACCCAAGGATGTGGAACAGTAGCTATGCTTTCAGACTCAGTTTTGATTTACTGAGTTACTCTAAGTTTTTTGTTACAAGAGATGTCTCATTGTATGGGAGAGAGGAGAGAGGGATGTGCTCAGAGGTGAAGGTGATGTAAAAATGAAAGACATCGATAAACGTTAAAAATCATTTTTAAAGGAGGTAAGAGATGCAACACCAGATGGCTGTGTTCCACAGTCCTCTCATCATTACCATCAGGCAGTGCTCAAAACACAGTGCTGCTGTCGTGAATGGTGTCCTTCTTAGAGTCCAAATGAAAGAGGAATTCCCTCGAGCCGCTCCGAGTTACAGGCTACACGACTTTCTGTCCCAAGCCTTGGAACATCACAGGGGAGGGAAGATCATAGATCACCTCCATTTTCACTCAGAAAGGATTGAATGCTCTCGACACTGCAGTAACCAAGTGGATGAAGGATGCGATTGGATTGGCAGAGAGACTTCAGAAAGAGGAGGAGAAGGGCAGCTAGGTGGCACAGTGGATGGAGCACCGGCCTTGGAGTCAGGAGAACCTGAGTTCAAATCCAGCCTCAGACACATAACACTTACTAGCTGTGTGACCCTGGGCAAGTCACTTAACGCCAATTGCCTCACACCAAAAATAAAAGAAGGAAAGAAAAGAAACAGGAGGAGAAGAGGCCAGATTACATTTAGGCAATGATGCCGCCCTTTTAATGACCCCACTTCTCCATTAAAAACAAAACAATGACTTGATCGATCGCTGGGCATTTATTAAATGCCTATCATTTTCTCATGTGCTCAAGGATAACGTTGAGGTTTCAAAGACAAAAGTATAACCATCTCTGCCCTCAAGGAGCTTACATTCTAGAGGGAGACAAGTGGAACACTTAGAGGTGCACACAGACTAGAGAGTGAGGGGACACTGGTGACCAGCCCTAAGAGCTAGGGGCTTAGGAAGGACCTCTGGGAGGTGGTGGCCCTTACCCAGAGAGGGCGGGGTGAGGAGAGAGTTAATTCAAGATTTGGGGGCCAGTGAAGTTGTTGCCGTACAGGTCTGGGAAAATGTCCATCTCTTGATCTCCCATTGCCAGCTCTTACCAAGCAAGAGGCATTTATTAAGTGTTTAATCTGTGCCAGGCATTTTGCACAAAACCATGTCTGTCCTTAAGGAACTTACAGACTACTAAGGGAGAACAAATACCCGTAGAAAAACATGTGCATAATAAACATAAGATAAATTGTAATGTGGAAAGTGTGCCTTAGGAATTTTGAAGGAAACAAGGTATAGTGAGAGTCAGAGGTGAAGGCAGAGTGCCCCTCAGGCATGGGGGGCATGGCCAGGAATGCTGGGCACACCATGGGTAGGAAAAAGGGGCCTGAGGTGTAAGCAGACTAGAGAAGGTAGGGGAGATTGGGATCAGGTTGTGAAGGGCCTTAAATGACAAACCATGGCAGTTATATTTAATCCTAAAAGTAACAGAGAAAGCACTGGAATTTGTTCAGGAGTGGGTCGGGGTGGCGAGGTGACACGCTCAGATGTGTGCTTTGGTGTTTTTACTTTGGCCTCTGTGGAGTGTGAATTAGAAGTGAAGAGAAATGGGTTGAGGGACCCTATTAATTAGAAAGTTATTACTAGAGTCCAGGTTATGAGGCATTTTAAATGCTAAACAAGAATGTCATATTTGATTCCAGAGATCAATCCCTAGAGTTCATTGAGTGACCTGCTTAAACCTTCAGTTTAGAAGATACGCTTTGGCATTGAAGGCAGACACTGGAACCAGTTGGGCACCCGTTATTGCAATAGTCCAGGCGTGTGAGCTGGTGACTAAGGGAGTAGAGAAGAGGGGGCTCCTGTGAGGGTTGAGGGCAGGAATGAGACTGGCAGTGGATTGAATGGGGAGCCAAGGAGGGCGTGATAGTGGTAAACCCCAGAGACCAGAAGGATGGAGGCGCTCTGGACAGCCGTAGGAAGAGTTCAGACAAGAGACAGGTGGACCGAAGGGCAGGGGAAAGTAGAGATAAGGAGACTTGGGAGGAATAGCCAGGCAGGAGGGCTTGGCTCAGAAGATGTGGTCAGCAGGGTGAAATGCTGCTGCAGAGGAACTGAGAAAGACCTGTTGGGCTTCACCAGTGAAGCATCATTAGTAACTTTGGAGAGGCGCTGTTCAGGAGTTCAAGAGCCCGATTGCAAGGCGGGGTGATTGACTGAGATGGGGAAGAGAGCCATAGCCCGGTGACCTGGGTCTTGTAAATGGTCTGTAAGGCTGGGAGGGACGTGTCAGAGGCTTGGAGGCTTTTTCCAAGTGGTGCTGCATGGCCCTGGAGTGCCACAGCCTCCGTAAAATTAGCTGCGAGGCTCACTTCAAGAGAGGCAGCTTGGATGGGGGTGAGTGGGGTGCAGCCTATTGCCAGCCAAGCAGGTCGCAATCTAAGCATTGTTAGAGGATAACGTCGGAGAGGTGGAGCATGTCTGCGTTACAGCCTTAATTGTTAGAGAAGGGAAAGGCTGACAGCATTGTGAACAAGATCACAGATGCATCAGAGCATTGGGGGAAAAGAGCGAGCCGATGTCCACGTCGGGCTTTGGCGGCTTTTTAAATTGTATTCATGAATTAGGGTCTCGGTTCCACATTTCAGGGCTCATCATTAACAAGCTTCTTTCCTGGATTTGATCGAGTAATTCTCTGGCTTGGGGTATGTTGTGTTTTTTCCTCAAGCTCTTGAATTGTTTATATTAAAACCTCAGTGCCGGCGACTTCCTAGTGTTTGCTAAAGTGTGTCTCCCCGCTGCTCTTAGGTAACCTTTTCAGAAGCTCGGTTCATACATCCACTCCCTTCATACGCAGTGGACCTCATCTAGCAAGCTGTGAAAAATAAAAGCGTCACTGTGCAGTGAAAGCCTGTCCATAGTAGGACCTCTTTTTCTCAAGCAGGCCGCTGGACTGCCCTCCTCCCTCATCCTGGCCAGCGGCTTAGTGGCATTTTAGACACCAGACACTCCTGTCCAGGACACGGCCTCCTCCTTTGCAGTATCCTGTTTTATCCCCATCCCTGCCTTTTCTTTCTCTCCCTGAGGTTAGTCTGCCCCTCCTTCAGTCCAGCTGTACAGGTTCAGCTTCCTGAAATAGCCACTCCCTCAAGACAGCCTTCTGCTGATGTTCCTTCTACAGCCGCCCGTGGCCCGGGGCAGACAGCTTTTCTGGCCTTGCGCCTCAGTCGTTGCCTGATGGAAACTCTCTGTTGCATCCATTCCGCCAAATGGAATGTTTGTTGTTCCTCCCGTTCCATCAGCTCAGAGATACTAAGCGGCCATTCCCTCCCACCCCCGTCGTGGGCGCTTCTCCTTACGCTTGTACTTGTACGGCACTGATCGACATGTCACCTTCTTCTCAGCTGGAGGATGACTTCCCCAGGGGCAAATCCTTGGTCTAGCAAGTGCACAGCATATTACCTGACCCTAAAAAATAATGATTGGTTTTATTTCCTGCTTGGAATTTGGAGGGTTTGTTCTGTTTGTCTTTAAAGTGGTATGTGGAAAAACTCCTTTATTTTTTACCTTGAAATCTGTGAGAAAAGATATAAAGAAGGAAAATATTTTCTATGAGAGGATGGCTTGAGAATATTCTACTCCAGTAGAATTTTTAAATGTATTTTTAGTTCAGTTCAACAAGTGCTAATGGTGGGGGGGGGGGGGGGGGGCGCGGAGTGCTAATGGACCCAAATTGAAGGTTCAGTGGGCCAATTTTCCAAAGTACAGGAATGCATTACTACAACTAAAGGAACCTCCACATTTTTCAAAAGCATTTTCTTTAATTTTAACTTGAAGGTAATGTTTAAAGAAAAAAACTTTTAAGAATAATCTTTTATTGTTTGATAAACATCGCAAGTTTACAGTCATTAATTTTACAATTTCACATGATGTGTAAATGAAGAAGATGCGTAGTCAAAATATGTAGTCAAAATATGGTCTCCCTTATGCTGCTGCTTATAAAGTGTGTGTTTTAGTTGTAGATTGAATTCTTCTGTTTAAAATGTGTATTTTATATGTGTGAGGCCACTGCAGGCTGCATGATGGGTAGAGTACCAGACATGGTTCAAGTCCTGTGGGAGCCTGGTCAGGTCACTTCCCTTCCGTGCCTCAGTTTTCTCATCTCCGATGTAGCAGGAAGGCAACCTGGCCTGTCCCACATAGGACTGTTGTGACTATCAGATGAGATGCTATAAAGATGAGCTCTTACCATACTGTAACCAATGCTGTGGGGGCCCTTCCTGATGTCAGTAATCCCTGCCTTCCTTTTTTCTTCTAGCAAAGTTCACTGATTACAAATCAACATGGTCCCCAGACCCCATAGGACACAACCCCACTCATCTCTCCAACAAGATGTGGAAAAACCATATTTCCTCAAGGAACACTAGCGGGCTGCCCCGCCCACCTCCTGGCCTGACCAATCCCAAACCGTCATCTCCCTGGAGCAGCACAGCCCCCCGCTCAGTCAGAGGGTGGGGGGCCCAGGACTCCAGGCTTGCCTCAGGTGAGGACGGGGGTGGCTCACGTTGCCGGGTCTCAGAGGGGATCCAAGCATTCCCAGGGGCACGGGCAGGGCGAGGGGGCGCTGCCCTCCGCCTACTTCTAACCTGCCTTCTCTTGTTGCTTCCATCCCTCCCTAGCCTCTGCCTGGAGCGATGGCGGCACAGCTCGTCCTAGTTACTGGCTGGTTCTTCACAACCTCACTCCCCAGGTACTCATCCTCCGTGTTCTTGTTGGTATGAGAGTTCTCTGGCTGAGATGGGCAGGAGGGCAAACGGCTGCCAATGAGTGTGACACTGGCTGAAGACCCTCTCTCAGCCTGGCCCAAGAGGCCGCCTCTGGGAGGGCAGGGAGGGTCGGTCACTGTACCCTGTGGGTTGTGTAGACAGACACATATACCGGATCACTAGAAGGAGATGGCAGCAGGTCCACCAGGACTTCCTGTAAGAGGTGACACCCAGGTTGGGCCTTGATGGGAGCCCCTCCAGGTACAGGAGCTGGAGGGAGGCAAGAGATGGTATGCCAGCTTGAAAAACCAGCCGGAGAAATCGAGAGGCCCCTGCAGGTATAGAGGAGGCAGGAGCCCAGGGATGAAGGCGGTAAACACTGGTTAGGCTGCAATGGTGTACAAAGGGCTGGGTCTGCAGAGAGGCAAAGACTCTGGGCAGTGCTCTCAGGGATCTCAGTCTACACACAGGTGGCCGTGGCAGGATGGAGTGGCAAGGCGCATTGGCATTAAGGGGGTGAGGAAAGGCTTCTTGGAGAAGCTGTGACTCAGCCACAGCTGAAAGGAAGTAGGGAGGGAGAATGTTCCAGGCTGCCTGGAGGATGGAGGCGGAGGCCAGCGTCACACTGGACAGAAGAGTCGGTGATAAGAACACCATAGGGAGGAGGCTGGGACATAAAGGGTTTTGAGAGCCAAACAGCATGTTATACTTGGATCCTGGAGGTGATTAGGAGCCACTGGTGTTTAAGGAGTAGGAGGGAGGTGACGCGGTTAGAGCCACGCTATAGAAAAATGATTTTGGAGGCTGCAGGAGGGATTGGAGTAAGGAGGGGCTAGAGGCGGGCAGAGCCCCCTGCAGCTGTAATACTAGTCCAGAAGTGAGGTCAGGGGAGGGGCATTTAAGAGACTGAAGGTGGAGACCACAGATTGGATGGGGCAGGGCAGGGAGGAGTCAGGGATGACCCCTAGGCTCCAAGCCTCACAATAATAGGAAGGTTTGGAAAGGGGAAGGAAAGTGAGTTCGGTCTTAGACACGTCAAGTTTATGGTGACTCCTTATTCCAAGGGGACCGATAGAGGAGACACCTGCAGAGAGATGGGAGCTGATGGCATCACCAAATGAAGTTGGCTAGAGGGAGAAAGAGGAAGGGCCCAGCTTTGAGCCTTGGGGGACATTGACAGCTGGTGGACATAACCAGGAAGGAGGTCCAACAAAGGAGCCCAGGAGAGCTCAGGCAGGAGGAGATGGGGATGGAGAGAGAACAGGCCGTTCGATTTGGCAGCTTCAGACTGCAGGAGATGGTAACAGAATTGACAGGATTTGTCGAGGGATTGGTTATGGGAAAGTGGCAGGATGCTAAGGGCGAGGGAAAAATGGAGGCTGACTATGGTTGGGAACTTGGAAGCACAGAGAAGGGTAAGGGTAGAAAGAGGGAAAGGAAGAAGCCTTTACAGAGCTCATACTATGTGTCAGGCAGTTCTTAAGTGCTTTTTACACATTTTATTTTGTTTAGGTGCTGTTACTGTCTCCTTTTTACAGTTGAGGAAACTGAGGCAGGCAGAGGCTAAGTAACTTGCCCAGGGCCACACAGCTCAGAAGTGTCTGAACCTGAACTTGTCGTCCTTATTCCTGGCCTAACACGTACTCTCCACTAGGCTACCAGCTGCCTCTAGAGTAGAAGTGTCGAACCCCGTCCAAAACTCACCCCATAGTGTGGTGGGAACGAGATTAAAATGTCCTTGGGAAATGTTTAACAAAACAAGTAAAAGTACAGTATGACATAGGCAGTGTTAATTTGTGGTTTTCTAAATCAGTGTGTCTGACACCAGTGCTCTAGAGGAAAAAGGAAGTGGCAAAGGTGCCAACCTGCAAGCATTTATGAACACCCTCCCATGTGCCAGGCCCTGCCCTGGAGGAGAGATGCATCCACAGGTGGGTTAGCTGCCTCCACGCCACTGGGCGGCCTTCCGGAGGACACGTCCAGAAAGTAGCTGACGGTCCTTGGGACTGAGTCAGGATGTAGGGATTTTACCTTAAACCCCTGGGACTGAGGACCTCACCATAGGGGGATCACGAGGGGCACTCTGACCAATAGGAGGAGAGTCAGGAGTGTCAGGAGCAGGGGCAGCTGGTGGCACAGTGGATGAGTCAGGAGGACCTGAGTTCAAATCCAGCCTCAGACACATAACACTCACTAGCTGTGTGACTCTGGGCAAGTCACTTAACCCCAGCTGCCTCCCAAAAAAAAAGCTTCAGGAGCCAAGAGAGGGCAACAGGTTGGAAAAGACGAGGGCTGCTAGCTTCAGAGAGCACTGCCAGCCAGATCGTAAGGGCTCGGGTCAGTAGCAAACAGAGCAGTGAGGAGAGGCTGTGAAAAGAGCTGCCCGCTGGTAGCAAAAAGCCAAACCGACCAAGGTCTTTGTTGAGGGTGGGGCTGGAGATGGGAGCCAAGAAGAAACCCCATGGGTGAGGAGAGATGGGAACCTGGACCCACAGAAAAGGGGCATTAGATGGAAGGGCTCTGAGAGAAACGGGAGCTTAGCACCGGTGGCCTCTGTAGCCACTCTGTACGGACGGCGCGGCATTTAACCTCTGTCTGCCTGGGTCATCGTGCAGATTGCCAACGTGCTGGCCAGTGGCCGTGGTGCTTCCAGTCTGTCGGTAAGTCATTGAGGAAGAAGGGAGAGTGGTCAGGAATCGGTGTCCCCAAACAGCTGGTCCCCCCCCCAAGGGCACGAGTGAAACCTGCCTTCAGTGCTGGGTCCTTTTATCATCCCAGAGTGGTGGGGGACGAGGCACAGAATGAGGAGTCCCAGCACACAGGCCTGCTCACTTTGTGGGGGGGACCTCCCCATAATCAAGGTTCTGAAGGCAAGGGGTCCAGGCAGAGCCCTGGATGAGGAGACTTGGCATCCTGGTACCTGACCTCTGCCTCTGGAGGTGTGAGAGAGCAGGGAGAGGCTGGAAGTCCACGGACAGCCTGAAAGGGCAGGGTAAATGGCTCTCCAAGCCAGACTGAGATTTTCAGTGAATCCTCAGCCTCTGGCCCATTTAGCAGGGATCCCTGGGCGCAGCTGGCACAGTGCTGCCTGCGGGGTGAGCAGCTAGTACCTCTGCTTGCCAAGACCTTGGGATGATTAAGTTACCAGTTTCAGTTGATGCTTTTATTTTCCTATTTTTTCATATTATTTATTTAGCAGAAGTTTGTGTTTTGGGGGAGCTAAAGTGGCTGCTTGGTTCTGCCTCCCCAGTGCCCTGAGGACCCCGAGGCCGTGTGGTCTGGGGGTCTTTGGACTTAACCTCCGGGTGGTTTTCTCTTTCCTGCTTCCTTCTGCTGTGCCATTGTTCTCTCTCTGCGGCTGAGAATCCACATCTCTGAGTAGCTCCATTGCCCTCTTTTCTCCCCTCTCTCGTGACTCACCTGGGTGCTTTGTCCTTAGATTGACGGGTCAACCTTGAGGACGATCTGCATGCAGCATGGCCCGCTGCTGACATTCCATCTGAACCTGACCCAGGGCACAGCCCTGATCCGATACAGCACCAAACAGGAGGCGGCCAAGGCCCAGACTGCCCTACACATGTGAGTCCCTGCCTGGGCCCCCGGGCCCAGACAGAGCGAAGCCCTGGGGCCAGAATGGGTATGGGTAGCGCCGGGGCACAGGGAGAGCCGCGCCTGGGCTCCTGCACGCGGGTAGCACACATTTTACACAGGAGAGAACAGAGGCCAGTAGGAGAACGGAAGTGCCTCACAGTGTTCGGCTTCACATAGGCAGCAGGTGCAGGAGCGGGGACTCCTCCTGTCCCTGTTGGGGAAGCATCACCAAGAGCAGGGCGGGAGAGGAGGCCTTTTGTTTGTAGGCCAAGACACGTTTTTCCTGTCAGGCACCCAGGCATGCTTACATTCCGGAAATAGTCTGATCTCTGATCCTAAGTAGTAAGAGAGAAGTGTTGGTGTCGGTCCGTGTGACTGATTTCCGAGGGTCAGTGTGGCCTGGGCCTGGGAGGCCAGTGCTGGACGCAGGCAGATGGATAGGGGTTCAGGCTCGTCGGGAGGCCTCCAGAGGAGTTGTTGGTTCGCGTGGGTGGAGGGTGTGTCCACGCCAGGACTGCCTCACTCAGTTTTAGAGCACTGACAGAGATGGACCAGAGCTGTCATGAATCTTCATTGCCAGTAGAGCCTCCGATGTTTTCTCTGGGTGTCTTTTAGGATTTAAAGATCGTAGCCCCTGAGCGTCACTCCTGTTCTGTCCCTTTCCAGGTGTGTGCTGGGAAACACTACCATCCTGGCTGAGTTTGCCACAGACGAGGAGGTGAGCCGGTTTTTGGCACAAGCCCAGCCCCCTCCCCCTGCCGCGACGCCAAGCGCGCCGGCCGCCGGCTGGCAGCCCCTGGAGACGGGACAAAGCCAGGCAGACGCCGTCGGCCCCGCCCTGAATCTTTTTGGGGGGTCAGCAGGGCTCGGCCAGTGGAGCAGCGGCGGGGGCGGCAGCAGTGGCGGCGACCTCCCTGGCGCCTCCTTGTGGGGGCCCCCAAACTACTCCTCCAGCTTGTGGGGGGTCCCCAGTGGGGAAGATCCCCACAGGATGGGCAGCCCTGCTCCTTTGCTACCTGGTGACCTTCTGGGAGGAGGGTCGGATTCAATCTGAACTTAGAACTTTCAACTCTGACCTCGTGACCTTTTTTGGAACAGCAGCAGCACTAACTCGACCTTTTCGTTTTTTTTTTCAACTTGCAATAAATACATTTTTAAAAGGAAAAAAGAAAACGGAGAGAGGAAAAAAAAAAGGTGGGTCATTGCCAGACTGTCTGAGCACATAGTTGCCTCCCTTATAACTTCAGTTTTTTCGTTTGGAAAATGAATCCAAAAAGAGAACATATCACTCTTGAAATACTTGAATCATGAACGCCAACCTAGAAAGACAATGTGAAGCAAGTACACATACCATTTAAATTTCAACACAAAAAATTAAAAAAATTAGTTTCTAGTTTTTCACTTTTTCATGTTATACGGAAGTTGTTGCTAAGAAACATATATACTGAAAAATAGCTTTTTAACTTGGTTTGCACTGGGTGTGTTTCCGTCCTTAGGTCTACCATGTTGGGGGGGGGAGGGCAAAAGAATTGTGGGGGTTGGGGGAGGGAAGACTAGACGGAGCCTCACTTTAAAAACAAAACAAAAAACTTTAAAAAAAAAAAAAGGAAAAAAATTGTGATTGGCTGGTCGATAAATACCAGTGTGTGCTGGCACATGTAACTGCCCAGGCATGCTTGTGATTGGTGTGTGTGTGTGTGTGTGTGTGTGTGTGCGTGCGCGTGCGCGCGTGCGTGTGTGCACCTCCTCGTCCCGCCCCCATTCATCGGAAGGCCACGCTGCTGCCAGTCTGCAGGCTGGCCAGCCAGGACTGACGCCAAACCCAGTGGGGCTGCATTAAGGTTTCAGGAGAATGCTTTTTGTGCCCGCAAGCAGGGTGTTCTTTTGTGTTTGCGAGTCATCTGCGTGTGCGTGTGTGTGCGTGTGTGCGTGTGTGAGAGAGAGAATCTTTACTTCCATCCAGCAGCGAGTGGAGCACTGCCATCCCCAAAATCAGGCAAGCAGGAGCACGTCTGGAGTGGCCACGTCCTCGTGTGCTCATCCGTGTATTTAATACAGATGCATTTCTGGTTTTAAAATCAGAGATGCATCAGAGCATCCAACTGGTGTGTTTTTTCAAAGCGAGTCCTTTTTTGTTCTGACGGGAGTGGGTGGAAAGACCTCGCAGCTCTTTTGTGGTGTATCCAAAGTGAAAAATAAGAGCGGGTCTCCCCTTCCCTGGCCGTGGCCCAGACACATGGAATTTGCTCATTGGAAATCAGAAATTTCATGCTTACCTAAATTTTCAACTGAGTTGTCTTGTCATTTTTTTTTTAAAAAACAGAAAGAAAAAAAAGTTGAGTGGCATCAGCCACCTCCTGAAGGCATAGGCAGCTCCCCTCTCTGCTCCAGATGCTGAGCGTTACCTGTGCCAGGCCTGGGTGTGTCCCAGCACCAGACCGTCACTGACCGAAACGTTTACTGAAGAATGTTCTTAAACCAGTGTGTATTTCAAGCCTTTCCTTTTGTTTCTCTGTGTTGTGTATTTCCTGTGTTGTGTGGTGTTGCTTAGGCAGGTCTAACTAGCAAAGACTTTTGAGTATTGCACCTTGTTTTCCTGTATTGTTGCTTTTTTATTTCGGTATTTAAAGAAACTTTTGTGAGCATCAGTGTAGTACAGTACTCTGGGCGGAACAGGGGCGACCTTCGAATCCACAGTGATGGCCAGTGTGTCCGTGCACGCACACTGGGCTCTACATCGGTACTGCTGCTTGTGGGGAGGGGAGCTGAGTGGACCGGAGGGAGGGAGACCCCTTCACAACCAGCGCCTGCCTCCGGCGTGGGCGGGGAGAAGGGCTTGCACTTGGTTAGGTGTGGACATCATCAGTCTGCATTCAACTGCTTTACATAAAGTGCCCGCATTCTGTACCAGCAAATGCCTGCCCGCTTGGACCCGACCTTAGGTGGGAGTAGACGCTGCTGTCCTTGTCAGCTTTCGGATGGGGGAGATGGGGCAAGCGTCTCGTTTGAGCATCTTCCGTGAAGGATACAACAATGCCTAATGTAGTTAACTTTTCATTTGTATGTGTGTGTGTGTGTGTGTGTGTGTGTGTAGACGTGTGCGTGTGCATGTGTGAGTGGTTAGGGAAAGGCAAAAAAAAAATCATTTGCATGTGAGACAAAGGAAATGGGAAGCACTATAGGTTTCTTGACTCACCCCTGTCGGTCTAAACCAGGCATCCAAAAGGACTGACAAAGGGGGATGTTAAGATGCAGTTATAGCGTCTTACGAGGAGCATTCACTGCATATGATTACGAGATGTGAATTGGGAAGGGGCAGGGGGCAGGTGAGCAAGCGGGACGTTGCAGCAGATGGGCGGCATTGGTTGCTTGCTTTCTTTTTTAAAATACCCCTGCCCCACGCCAGCCCACCATTTTCTGTCTTCGTCCTACCCTCTGCAGAGAAGACCCCCCCCTTCTTCAGCCCCTCTCCCTGGTTTCTTCCCAAGTGGTGAAGCGTTAGCTCTGTCGTGGCCTTGAGGTGAAGAGCAGCTGTCCTCCTCAATAGAGAAAACACGATCTAAATTCCTTACCTGTAGTGGAAGTCCCCAGAAGCGCCACACATGGCTTCTTCTGTCCCATTGCCTGCTGCCACCCCAGCCTCCCCAGGGGCTCCTCGCGAGCCCTCGTCCTCCCTCTCCTCCCAACCTGCCTAGTGGTTCCTCTACCTGCACTTTGGGTTAGTTGAGTTCATTATGATACTACGGTGAAAGCCGGGTGCTAGAGCCCCTCTTGTTTACAAGACATAATGAGGGATTTGAAATATGTAAAAATAAAATTGAGAAGCTAAAATGTTCTTCCATCATAAGCTTAAAGGGAAAAAAAATTTAAAATTTTTAAAAAGACCAAAAAGTGCATATATATTAAAAAAATATATATATTTTAGATGAAGACTAACTCTGGGAGCATATAACAGTGTTTGTTTGGGTTTTTTTTGTGTTTGTTTTAACATTTATTTTCCTGCTTTAAAATTTGCAAGCATTCTCAGGAATTCTAGGGTAGGAAGCCAGTTTTTTTGAAGATGGTTTATTTAACTGTATCTTATCCTAGATAGATGGCTGTTTCTTTCCTGTTGATAAACTTTTACAAGTTCCTGAATCTTCAAGAAGAAAAGTTTAAAATAAAAGTTTTTACTTAATTTTTAAAAAATTCAAAAAGAAAAGTCTTTAAATGTTACAGTCATAACTGGGGATCACACATTTTAAAACCTGTACAAAGAAATAAGATATTTTTTAAAAGTTCTCAGTTTAGCAGCAAGAAATTCATTATACTCTTAAAAAAAAAAACTAGGAGAATGATTAAGCTGTAACAAGCTCCATCTTAGTCTCATTTGGAATTGTGTGTAATTGTAGTTGAGAGAGAGATATGGGCTTCTGAATGGGAATGGCATCACTGGGCCTTTCCACTTAGGCTCAGCTGCCGTCTCTCCTGGTACTTTTTTTTTTTAAATGAAAGAAAAAAGACAGTTCCCTGCATCTTTCACTACTTTCCCCAAAATATTAGTTTTGACTGTAAAATTTAGTAAAGTTTAGGTGAATTGAGAATGTGTGTAAAGAAAATAGAGAATCTAGGTTAGTGTTTTTTGGAACAGATTTTAAATATAGGCCTTGCTAAAGGAAGATTACCCATGGACTGTTCCATGAATGAGAAATGTCTGTCTCTACCTCCTTTTTTTGTGGGAAGGAGGGGGAGGAGAAGAAGAAGATAATCTAACAAGGGACAAATGATTTTTCCTTTTTTAGCTCCCAGCTACTGTTGTGTTTGTTTTAATTGCTGTTTTAAAGATTTGCTGCTTACTTACCTCCATCCACCAGCTAGAGACTTGGAGGTTTGACTTTCTTTTTTTGGTGATCCTGAATTCTCTTTTTGCATACCCTTCTGGGGCCAGATACTGAAATTCCCACGCATGATGAGAGCTTCATTGAGACATTTGAGCTTACCACTGGGAATGAAAAACTTCCTCTCCAGGTGAGGGGAAGTGGAGTTAATGCCTGAAATTTCTCTGAAACCGCTTTAGTGCCTTCGTACACACACCCAGACATCCTGTGAAAGGGGGAGGGGGGGTGTGTGTGTGCGTGCTTGTGGTCCAGTCACTCCATGTCAATTAATGCACCTGTCCTTGAATGAGTATGGAGTCCTTCTGGCCATGCCCCAATGGCAGTGGGCGAAATTTCAAAAAAGAAAAAAATTCCTAGAAAGAAGATGTGCTTTTAGGTCTTGAAAAGTAGAATGCCGAGTCCCTGCCCTCCATTTGGTTGTGTGACCTCCGTTTTCATCTATCCCATGCTTTGTGTGAGTGCTTGTGAAAACGTGAACCCGTATTAATTTGGAAAGTCTTACTGTGTTGGGCCAGTAGAAAGGAGTCCTCTGGGGCTTCCTGCCCCTCCCCGCCCTTCTCTTTTCTTTTCCTCTGTACTCCAGAAGGTTTGCTTTATTGGTTGACAGTGACTTAAGAACAGGAGACAGTTGAGGATGCGGTCACACCGTGTGGCTTAAGTCCAAGTGGACGGTCTGAGAGTGTGTCATCCCCCCATTCTCCCAGTTTCTTCTGAAAAAACCACAAATGGGCAGTCATGTTGGGTAAGATAACCCACCGAGGCAGCCTTTTGTTCACCTCTCTTCTCCTTCTTGAGGACAAAGCTTCCTGTATTCTTACCCGCTTTCTTTTCGGACACTCGCTCTAGAGTGACCAGAGAGACATGCTTCTTTGGTCTCTGCCCACCTGTGGGGAAAGAAACGTCTTCCATCAGACCAGGCTGTGTGACCAATAAACCCTCTGCCGTCATTCATGTCCTCATTTTCAGTGTCTGTTAAGCCAAACTGACAACTCTCCGAGACACTGTGAAGACCCAGAAAGCTCACAGAGCCAGCGCCCCTCAGTTGTGGGGTTCCACAGCCGTCGCGGAGGCCACGGTTAGCGCATGCTGCAAGTGAGGGTTCCAAAGACACCCCCTTTGCCAAGGTCCACGTCCTCTGTCTCCTCGACTGCATGAGGCTGCTTTCTTTCAAGAGATTCACTCACACTCTCATTCTGGGGGGATTTTCATTTTCTCTCGTGATGTTACTAGGATAACCAACTTCCCACCTTTCCTGTGAGCGTGGCATCAATTAGCGGTAAGCTCTCAGGAGTTCTCTTGTGAAGTGTTGTGTCTAAGGCATGTGGGGAAAAAAAAGAAAGCTTTCTAAGAGTTTGGAAATTCCTTTTATCATTTTTAGCAAAAACTTCAGTTCCAGAGGTTATATTCCACATTGTCATGTTCACCATCAATCCCTCTCACCCCTTCTGTGCTTCTCTGAGGGCTGTATTTGCAGTAGCCTTGAGATTCAGTTTCAGCCTCAAAAGGGGGTATATTTCCCCACCCTTTTTTTTTTCCTAAGATCCTGGCATTCTGATATTTCTGTTGAATGTCCGACTAAAGATTCCTGTGTGCTCAGCAGACAGCTTAAGCCAAGCCTGTTTTCCGTGCTTCA